CGGTCATACAGGGACCGAACAGCCCTCAGCAGAGGACCCCGGACCCCGTACTCCCGGAGGACCCCCCAAAGGACACCCCGGGGAACGCGGTCGAACGCCTTCTCCAAATCCACAAAGCACATGTGGACAGGTTGGGCGAACTCCCATGAACCCTCGAGTATCCGATGGAGAGTATAGAGCTGGTCCAGTGTTCCGCGACCGGGACGAAAACCACACTGCTCCTCCTGAATCCGAGATTCGACCATCGGACGAAGCCTCCTCTCCAGTACCTTGGAGTAGACCTTACCGGGGAGGCTGAGGAGTGTGATCCCACGATAATTGGAACACACCCTCCGGTCCCCCTTCTTGTAGAGAGGGACCACCACCCCGGTCTGCCACTCCATTGGCACCGCCCCCGATCGCCACGCGATGTTGCAGAGACGTGTCAGCCAAGACAGTCCTACAACATCCAGAGACTTTAGATAGTCAGGACGGATCTCATCCACTCCCGGCGCCTTGCCACCATGGAGGCTGCCAACCACCTTGGTGACCTCGGCCAGGGAGATGGAAGTATCCGCCCCAACATCCTCAGCCTCTGCCTCCTGGACGGGGGACGTGACGGGGGGATTGAGGAGAACCTCGAAGTATTCCTTCCACCGCCCGACAATATCCCCAGTCGAGGTCAGCAGCCCTCCACCCGCACCATACACGGTGTTGGCAAAGAACTGCTTCCCCCTCCTGAGGCGCCGGACGGTTTGCCAGAACCTCTTCGAGGCCGACCGATAGTCATGCTCCATGGACTCTCCGAACTCCTCCCAGTCCCGGGTTTTTGCCTCTGCAACAGCCCGGGCCGCGGCACGTTTGGCCTGCCGGTACTGGACAGCTGCCTCAGGAGTCCCACGAACCATCATTGCTCGATAGGACTCCTTCTTCAGCCTGACGGCATCCCTTACTGCCGGTGTCCACCACCGGGTTCGGGGATTGCCGCCGGGACCAGCACCAGAGACCTTGCGACCACAGCTACGAGCCGCCGCATTGGCGATAGAGGAAGAGAACATGGTCCACTCGGACTCGATGTCCCCCTCCTCTGCCGGGACCTGGGAGAAGCTCTCCCGGAGGTGTGAGTTGAAAGTCCGTCTGACAGGGGGCTCAGCGAGACGTTCCCAGCAAACCCTCACTACACGCTTGGGCCTGCCAGGTCTGACCGGCCTCCTGCCCTGCCAGCGGATCCAACTCACGACCAGGTGATGATCGGTTGACAGCTCCGCCCCTCTCTTCACCCGAGTGTCCGAGACACGCGGTCGAAGGTCAGATGATACGACTACAAAGTCGATCATCGACCTCCGGCCTAGGGTGTCCTGGTGCCACGTGCACTGATGGACACCCTTGTGCTCGAACATGGTGTTCGTGATGGACAGGCCGTGACTGGCACAGAAGTCCAACAACTGAACACCGCTCGGGTTCAGATCAGGGGGGCCGCTCTTCCCGATCACCCCTCTCCAAGTGTCACTGGCATTTCCCACATGGGCGTTGAAGTCCCCCAGGAGAATAACGGAGTCCCCGGGCGGTGCACTGTCCAGTACCCCTCCCAAGGACTCCAAGAAGGCCGGGTACTCTGCACTACCGTTAGGCCCGTAGGCCGTCACAACAGTGAGAGACTTGTCCCTCACCCGGAGGCGGAGGGACGCGACCCTCTCATTCACCGGGGAGAACTCCAACACGTGGCGGCTGAGATGGGGGGCAATGAGTATGGCCACCCCAGCTCGCCGCCTCTCCCCGCGGGAAACACCAGAAAAGTGGAGCGTCCAACCCCTCTCAAGGAGTTGGGTTCCAGAGCCCAAGCTGTGTGTGGAGGTGAGGCCGACTATCTCTAGTCGGTATCGCTCAACCTCCCCCACAAGCTCGGGCTCCTTCCCCCCCAGTGAGGTGACGTTCCACGTCCCAAGAGCCAGATGTTGGGTGTGTGGACTGGGTCGTCGAGGTCTCCGCCTTCGACTGCTGCCCAGTCCTCTCTGCACCTCGCCACCACGGACCCCTCTGCAGGTGGTGAGCCCACAGGAGGGACTGCCCACGTCATCCCTTCGGGCTGAGCCCGGCCGGGCCCCGTGGGCTAAGGCCCGGCCACCAGGCGCTCGCTTGCGAGCCCCGACCCCAGGCCTGGCTCCAGGGTGGGGCCCCGGCTGCGCCATGCCGGGCGACGTCACGGTTTTTGTTGTCGTGCTGTCCATGGTTGGCTTCGGACTGCGCTTCGTCTGACTCGTCACTTGAGACCTGTCTGCCATGGGAGACCCTACCAGGGGCATGAAGCCCCAGACAGCATAGCTCCCAGGATCATCCGAGTGCTCAAACTCCCCCACCACGTTAAGGTGGCAGTCCAAGGGGGTAAACTGTGTCAACAAAAAATGGCTGATCTTCCCAGAGAGAGAGTAACTCCAGACTTGCCTCCATTTACAAATGTTGGAGTCGATTACTTTGGACCCATTGAAGTTAAACACGGGCGTTCTCATGTGAAGCGATATGGAGTAATATTCTCATGCATGGTCAGCAGAGCAGTCCACATCGAGGTGGCACATTCGTTGGACACAGACTCGTGTATCAGTGCAATACGACGTTTCGTGTGCAGAAGAGGACCGGTCTCGCACTTCCGCTCAGACAATGGCACAAATTTCACATCAGCTGAAAAATAATTAAAGAAAGGGATTGCAGATGTGAACCATGACAAAATTCAGAAAACACTATTGTATGATGATATTAAATGGACATTTAATCCACCCTATGCTTCACACCATGGAGGTGCTTGGGAGAGCATGATCAGACTGATTCGGAAAGTGCTATGTTCTGTACTACATCAGCACTCTCACACTGATGAAGCTTTACTCACAGTGTTATGTGAAGCAGAGGTCATTCTGAACGACAGACCTATAACCAAAGTATCCGATGATCCTGAGGACTTGGAACCATTGACCCCTAATCACCTGCTCACTCTGAAACGTAAACCAACGCTTCCTCCTGGTGTCTTTGACCAGCAAGATCTATAAGCTCGTCGAAGATGGAAACAATCTCAATACATCGCTGATCTTTTTTGGAAAAGATGGTCAAAGGAATATCTGTCAAATTTACAAGAAAGACAAAAATGGAATCAATTAAAAAGAAATCTAAAAGTCTGAGACATTGTCCTCATTGCAGACTCTACAGCCCCACGCAATTCTTGGATCATTGGAAGAATAATAAATGTGTTTCCAGACACACATGGAGTGGTTCGATCAGTGGACGTCAAAACAAAGGCAAGTACCATCAAAAGACCAGTAACAAAATTATGCATGTTGCTGGAGAATGACCCATGAATTCTATTCCCGCAAATATAAAAAAAAGGGAGTGAATGTTGCATAAAGTAAAGCAACAAATGAAATGTTAAATGTAAAAAAAAAAAAAAAAAAGGAAAAATCCTGGTCGGATATGTATTTTTTGTTTGATATTATGTAATAAGGTATTTGTATTTCGGCTCCACTTTGTATAATTGTTATGTCAAGGTCATAGACAATTAGGGGCCGGTATGTTGGAGCCAATACAGGTAGAGGGCGCTCTGGGAGTGGCTCTACCAAAAAGGCATAAAAGGTGAGCCAATCTAGTGCCAGGTGTGGTGCTAAGGAGGCAAATGGTTTTGACCGTGCTCGTGACCGTGCTCGTTTTTCGTTTGTGTTCAAACAATAACCAAAAAGCTGTAAATATCATCATCATAATCCTTCTCAACAAAAATAAATGGATTGGCATATCCGACTGGACATCTGCAATACTCTGGTACATTATTTCTTCTCACAATAATTCATCCTGCACATAGCGAAGCACGCGTTCATACAACTTTTAAATGCGCCACAACAAACAATATACCCGCATGTATATTGAAGGGACATTTTTATTTTGATATTATTTATGTGCTAGATTCAATTGTCCAAGGAAATTTTTTCCTTGTGCTCAAATATTTGACTGGGTGCTCCAGCCCCACAGCACCCACGGGATCGGCGCCTATGATGTAGTAATACGCATTTTTTGAACTCATTAAAAGATAAAACAGGTGTGGCTCCTTTAAAGCAGCAACAAAAATACTGCAATTTATTCACAATAAATTATACGAAGCTCCTTACGGAGCACTGTGAAATTCATTATTTAGAAATGAAAGAGTATGGCACCACTGTGGACTTCCTACAACACAGCCGTCCACCTAAACTAACAGATCGAACGAGAGCACTGTTCACAAAGGCAAACAACTGCCCTAAGATGACTCTGAAAGAGCTGCAAAGTACTGCCGCTGAGCTGGAGAAATCTGTACATGGGATAAGTATTGTCTTACTCTATACAAATCTGATCTTTATGGACAAGTGGCATTATTGATAGGAGGCCATACGTGTTTAAAGTTACCAGAAGCGCTGACATGCTTGCAATATCACTACTTGCCAATGGGGGTGTGTCTGAAAAAATAATTATCACATAATTATTACAAATTATAAATACTTGTGCATGCCCAAATTTTCGGTTTTCTATTTTTTGAAAAATAACACAATCATATATAATTTTGCTTTCACTTTGCAGTTGTCTGTTACCTGTGTGATAACTTGTAAGTTATACATCAAGATTTTAATTCGATTTTTTTTTTTTTTTTTTTTATGGTTCTAAACCTGACAAAATTTCCAAAAGTTTAAGGTGTATTAATACTTTAAAGAGGCACTGTACATACATATTTACAGGTCTTTTCTCTCAATATTTGTTCGAAAGAGATTCATTATGATGTATGTGTGTCGCTTTAAACCACAGCAGTGGGTTAGGGTTCTTTGGGGATTTTTTCTATTTATTTTTTTAAGTTGTGGCTTTGTCAGCATTAGATCAGAGAATTATTCCAACACTGGAAATGCAACAATAACAAACACAAAGAAGCCATTGGTCCATTGGGAGGTGGATGTCCACTGTAACCCAAAAATTATAAACGTGCAGACAAACGTGTACATGAGGATGTGTTCTGTTTTCAGAGTGTCCCAGGAGCGTCAGGAGGCTGCTCGTCTCTCCCTCCTCCCCCCTAAACCCTCTCCACAGCAACAGATTCTCTCCTCTCTCAGAGACGCTGGGGTTTGTGATTTCACCATGAAGTCTGCTGTTCCAGGAACCGAAATCCCGGGACACAAGGTCTGTACCCACTGTTTACACCAGGTCGCAATGTTTCATGTGGTCATACAGCTGCTACAGAGGTCCCGGCCCTCTCAGGTGCAGAAGCCCTTACGCTCTTCGGCCACAGAGCCAAAGACAGTGCAGCTGTTGTGGTGAAGAGGGAGCAGCGTCTGCAGTCAGAGCTGGATCTTTGTCTATATACTTACAGGACTGGGTGGTTGGTAAGTTTGGCCGCGTCCTCCCGGTGATGCAGCTGAAACGTTGTCATGGCGACGGAGCGCAGACGCTGAAGTACGACCCATCGAAATACGGTCACAACCTGCGGGTGCTGGCTCTGCCCTCCGGCCCTGAGGCCACGCCCACTCCTGTCTGCAAGCTCACCTGGGCGTTGGAGGGGGGTGATGACGAAATCAGCCGCAAACGCAGAGGAGAGTTTCCCCCGTTCACGGTCAGCAAGAAGAAGAGCAGGTGATCATACGCAAGAACACACAAATACACACAATTCATGTAATTAAACACAGTAACCCACAAATACACATTCTGTACATAATTACACACAATATGTGCGTTTGGTTTTCAGACCCTCCTCTGATCGGATTGGCTCCTGTAACAGTTCCAGTCGGCCAATCGGAGCGCTGCAGCCGCCGCTCAACAGCCAATCAGATGAAGAGCAGCAACAAGTTGGGGACAGCTCCTACAATGCACCGTGGCCTGAGGACGACACACTGGAGGTGGTTTCAACTGACTTCATTCAGAGTAAGAGAAAAGGTACAAAACAAGTTCTGAAGCAGGACTGAAGCAGGACTGAAGCCCCGTCCCAATTCTCACCCTTGCTCTTAAAAAGCACCCTTGCCCTAGATTTTGTGCGTGTCCGCGGGGTTGTAGGGTGTCCCATTACTTAGAGAGAAGAGGCGAGTGCCCTCATCCCTTAAAAACCACCCTCGCGCTCAAGTGAGGTCCGCAGATCACTTGCGCTCAAGGGTGATCCCATGATGCATTACAATAGTTGTTTGTAAAGTAGCTGTCGGGCAAAGCCGCACCAAGAAAGAAAACGACATGAAAAACCCGGGCACAAGTTTGTGTGGAACGGGAGGAAGCGCCGAAGCGCGTGCGAGTCAGAGTTTTTAATGCGTGTGTTGGTGCCGTGTTTGTGACGTTCGCTCCCAAAGCGGCCGTAGTGTGTGGCATTCACCGAGGCTTCAGAGACGTGGTGCATGTTATTATTATAGATCCATGATGTAGTTCATCGCTTTGACACAATTTACTTGATCCACGGCTCTACTCGTCTGTTTCTGTGTGGTACGTCTCTGTGCGCGTACGTGTATGTACATGTGTCTGTCTCTGTGTGTTTGTACATGCGTCTGTCTGTTTACGTGTGTGTGTGTCTGCCTCTGTGTGTAGGAGTGTGCGTGTGTGTGTGTGTGCATCTGTCTCTATGAGTGCATGATGTGCAGCAGTTCTGTACCTAATTATAGCAAATCTTCATATGAAAAACGTCTCATTTTAACAAATACTGTGTTTCATAAAGTCATATCTGTGTTGGATCTTATCTGTGGTGAAATCAGACACATTTATAATGTGTAGGACGTGGAACATGTTTGCTGCGTCATTTGCATTTTGTCCCCCTGAACCAGGGGTGTCCCAATTCTCGGGAGAATATCCTGTGAGTGCACTCTCCTATGGGAAGGCACTTTTCTGGTGAGGGCACTCACACCTCGAGGGCCCTCAGAATTGGGACGGGGTCTAAAGCAGGTCTAAACTTCTCTTGTTTCAGATGAAGATGAGTGCGACTCAGCTGACACTGATGAAATCTTCTCGTCTCTAAAACCTCAAGCAACTCCAAACAAAATGGCTGCCGCAAAAATCCAGAAAAAAACAAATGGTTGCCGCTTAAAATACGACTCAACGGACGACGAGGGAGAGAAGGCTTCAGGGAAGAAGTGCGAACGGAAAGTCAAGAAGGCCAACAAGATGGCCGCCGTTAAAAAGATACAGAAGTCAGAGAACAAAGTAGAGGATGGGGGGAGGAAACGGGGACATGAGAAAGGAGCTAAAGGAGACAAGGAAAAGAGAGAGATGATCCAAGGAGGAACAGAAACGGCGGAGGAGACAAGCCAAGGAGGCAAGGAAAGCACTGAAGAGACGAGCCAAGAAGGCAAGGAAGTCACTGAGGAGACGGGCCAAGGAGAGGTAGGCATTAATTTGGCCAACGCTGAAAACGCTCCACAGCGTCATAAAAAAAACATTGTCTTCTCAAACCATTTTGTGTTCTGTTAAACTAAATTGTTAACTACAATTCAACTTAAAAGACATTAAGCGGTCACTACCAGAGTACCTGATTACATAAACACACATGCACAACTTGATCATTAAACAAACAAACATGACTATAGACACATGGCAGACAAGGGACATCACAAACTTTAAAGATACTACATGTAGAACTTCAGCTCAATCTGTCACGTTTATGACCACACCAAATTAACTGAAGTGATAGATGTTTGTAGGTAAAAAAATTAGGCCAGAAATAAGCAATCATTAGTCATAAAAGTTACTAAAAGTGAAGTAGATCCAGGACTGAGGATGTAGAATGAGGACTGTAGAGGCTCCAAGGCGGGGAGAGAGGAGTGCAGCCTACGAGTCCGGGCCAGGGGTTCATATAAAGAGGCTGGATTCAAGGTTTCCATTATTACGCCGAGAAACAGACATTGGGATAGCGGGTGACTAGCAATAAACAGACTACAACTGAAGTCATAATGATGACAGATAAAGTAGGAAAGAGGATAATGCTGTTGCCATACTTATCCAGCAGGGGTCTCCCTTTGCAGCGTCACTGACAATCTGTGTTTTAAGCCTTAAGGTTGTATTTCTAAGTGTCAGTTTTGTGTTTGTTCACAGACAGATGACTCTGATTCGGACCACGATTACGAGTCGTTATTTTCCAACGTGATGCGCTTGGAGATGTCCCTGTGTGACCTGCGCATGCTAGCGCACAGATATGCCCCCGAGACACCCGCTCCTGCCATCCTGAGCGTGGACGACACCAGTGGCACGCCGAAAACGGGAACCACACCCGAGGAGATCCTGGAGGCCATTCTACAGGGCGGGTCGAGCGATGAGGAGGAGAATAAGAGGAGAAAGAAGAGAAAGAGGGGAGCGGCGCCGGAGATGTCACTTCCTGCATTCAAAGGGACAGGAGCTCTGCAGATAGAGACGCAAAACGGAGGTACTTTTTGCAAATCAACTCTTCAATTTAAATAAATACTTAAGTCAATAACCCTATTTCCCTCCAGATGAGTCCAGCTCTGCTCACACTGAGGCCTCCACTGATGAAGAGGAAGATGAAGGAAAGACATCAGAGAAAGAATCGTCAAGCAGTGCTGAAGGTGCAGACACAACATTATATTGATGAATTTGGATATACAGTAATATATATATATATATATATATATATATTAGGGCTGTCAAACGATTAAAATGTTTTAGTTGATTAATCGCACAGAAATGGTGAGTTAACTCACAATTAATCGCATTTTTAACATTCTATTTCAAATCCACTCCAAATAAAGTTAAATGAGATTATCAAATGTAATGACACATTGTCATTCATACCAAATGTACTTAAATCTATTTGATTTTCTCACAACCCTTTGCTTTTGGGCACAACCAAAATGAGCTGTTAATGAAATGGGGAAATTTAGTTTAGTTTCAGGAGGAGACACGGACACAGTGTATTTGCGTGCACAGGTTACGCACAGGTTGCAAAGACACGAGCACAACATGCAGACAATAGTTCTGTGGCGTGTTTGGTCTTATTTGACCATGTTACCGAGGCGCCATTCACTCACAGCCGCTCACAGCCGTGTTGTTGTTAGCGGCTCACAGCCAGAGCGGCCACGGAGGAGGCGGACTTCAGTTCACAGCAAACAACAGCCCCGCGGTGACGCGCGTATTCTTTTTAAAACATGAATTCCCAGAGGACCTACCTGCTCTGATGCATCTCACACGCAGCATTCTGAGTGATATTATGGATAAATGGGCGGGTCATTCAGACATGCGTTAATGCGTTAATTTTTTTTTAACGCGTTAATGAAAAATGTAATTAACGTGAGTTAACGCGATAATTTTGACAGCCCTAATATATATATATATTATTTACTTTGACGTATTTGTGTGTCAATGGCACACAATGAGTTAAAAAGCAGCGAGCGAGGAGCAGCGAGAGAAAGCAACCGCTCTGTTCCAGAGCAGGAAGTAGAGTAGAAGAGTATTCGAAAAGAGCATGATCTAATAATGCCTTTTGAAATATTGGGGCCATTTAATGATGATTTGACATGCACATATTACATAATGCTACTTATATATATATATATCGCTGCTTTTTAACTCATTGTGTGCCATTGACACACAAATACGTCAAAGTAAATACTAACGGTGTGTGCCATTGACGCATTACGTCAATTGCCTTTCCCGCTATTTTCATGTTCCTAGATGTCTATTGTATCTAATATGTATGGGGATGGCTTGAGACCATATTTTATCGAGCCAGCAGGTGGCAGCATTGCTCTCTGAATGGTTTGAAAACAGCCAGATGCACATGTTGTGCCTCTTTTTTCTCAGCTTTCTGATGATTTCAGTAAAACTTCCCTCTACTCGACGAAGGATTACAGGGGAACGAAACAAGCTAGAAACAAAATTATTTTTGCTGATGGAAGTAGACAGTCTGGTGTCGGATTTCAGATAGTCATCGTACACAATATTTTGTGGCTCTTTAAAAATCAGTTAAAAACCATCAGAAACGGCTGGCATTATGGAAGTACCTGTTCTGAAATGGGCTGGCAGTCGATGAGTTAATCTCCTTTAATCATTTTTTTTTAAATTTGTGTTCTACAAAACACAGATTACTCCTTTTTACAAACATCAATAAAAGACTTGTGGAATTTACCAACTTTCATTATGTCTGGAGGACGGAAAAAAAGAACATTTTGCTATGGCTGTTGGTCACTCAAACAGGAGTTCAATCTTCTTCAAGACCGAATGTTTCTCCTTGAATCAGAATTGGGGCTAAACACAACAATACCAGTGAAGGGAAATGGACAAAATGGGTAAAACGTAATGATGACGCTATTTCATTTCCCAAAATCAACAGAGACAATTTCTGGAACACATATGGTGCCAAGCCCAAACAAGGCAAAGCTATTGATAACAAGAGTGTAATAATGCCACAGAAAAACCCTTTAATTACAAGAAACCGCTTATCAATACTTTTGGAAGCTGAATCAACAGTAGCGTCTCAGTCTCAGTCAAGGTCAAATGCTGCTGACTCGGTCCTTATCGGGGATTCTGCGATCAGGAATGTAAACGTGCGTGGTGTGAAGACATTGGGCCTCATTCACGAACGGTTCTTAGGAACAGATTTGTACGTAAATCCTACTTACGCGGTTTTTACGAAGAAAGTGGCATTCACGAATATTTCTCGTAACCAGAATTTCTCTTGGGCAAGTACAAATCCTACGAGTCCTCAGGAGCACTCGTACGCATTCAGTGCCGACATGTTCACACGCCGGGGTTGTCCTCTTTGGTGAAGTTGAATAAAAATACAACATTCCAGTGATATGTCCGTCATATCGATGTATGTATTTATTTATTTGTAGTAATCTTTATTAGTAATCTTTATTTATATACTGCCTTTTTCACTGCAGATCTGGCCTACTTTTGAATTCATTTTGAAATGAAATGTGCCAACGCTTTATCAAATACATTGGAAATCTTGCCGTGTATTAGTGACCCCTTCCTATTTATAGGGGGCATTTCTTTATCCACGGGCCACAGAACAACGGCATATATACTGCTGCTGCAGGAGGTTACTGGGTCCGCGCTGAGTCTCTGCGCTGGTCTCTCCCATGGATCTATACGGGTCTGCACTGGTCTCTCCCATATACGGGTCTGCACTGGTCTCTCCCATGGATCTATACTGGTCTGCACTGGTCTCTCCCATGGATCTAGACGGGTCTGCACTGGTCTCTCCCATATACGGGTCTGCACTGGTCTCTCCATACGGGTCCGTGCTGCATGCTCCTGGATCCATACGGGTCCGCGCTGGTCTCTCAAGTCTGGTCTATGCGGTCTATCTTCGGTCCGCGCTGGTCTCTGCGCACCGGTCTCTCCAGTCAGGTCACTCCAGTCTATGCGGTCTCTCCTATAGGTCCGCGCTGGTTTCTGTGTGCTGGTCACTCCAGTCTCTCCTCGGGTCTGCATTGGTCTCAGCGCTGGTCCGCGCTGGATCTCCTCCCAGGGTCCAAAATATTTTGAGATTCATCTTTAAAATAATACATAATATATTTTTAAATTAAGCTCATAACATTTTGAGATTCATCTCATCATATTCTTAGATTAATCTCATAATTTTGCTAGTTCGACTTTATTATCATAATATTTCGACTTTTAAGTCAACATTTTATAACTTTATTCTCAGTCTGGTAAAAGAAGAAAAAAGGGTGACTCTTTTGCTCCGTGTAACTCTTTGCTTTAGGCCTGTTGCTGCAGGGCCGTCTGCACACGGCCCTGCAGTCCCTTATATGGGCATTAGTGGGCGGTTACTTATGCTAAGTACCTATGCTAATGAAGCACCTGGCACGCGCGCTGTACTTACGAGGAAATGGGATTCATCAATCTGAGAGAACAGCTGCGAACAATTCAGCGGCTTACGAGTGCGTTGATGAATCCCACGTGGGGACTTCTTAAGGCGCGTTCAGACCAAAAGCTTCAAAAAGCTTTTGACGCGCTTCAACTGACGCCGGGATAGTTTTGTCATTTTGATGCTTGAAGCTTTTGACGCGAGTGACGCGCCTGACGCCGGTGGGAGGAGCTTCTCTGTTGTCTGTAGTCAGGACAGCGGTGGATTTTTCAATGAGCAGCGAGCCTTTATTTGTTATATAAAGCAAAATAACGTTGTTGTAGGGCTTCAACAAAACATGTTCTGGGTTCACCACAGACTTGAGAGGCTGCAGTGTTTGCAGAGTTCCGTCAGTTACTCCAGGAGCTGCGTACGGAGGAGTTTCGCTTTCAGCGGTACTTCCGCATGTCACTCGCCCAGTCTGAGTTCTCAAACCCCGGAGCTCGCCTCTCCCCGCCTCGCTCTCGCCTCTCCCTGCCTCCCCCTGCCTCTCCCCGGTTCTCGCTCGCCTCTCCCTGCCTCTCCCCGCCTCTCCCCGGCTCTCGTTTGCCCGGAGCTGCCTTGCTTTGAGCCAGACTCGTCGTCAGCCTGTTCTTATATTAAATAAACTACGTTTACTACACAGCATGTGTACAATGATTTTTGTTACTCAGAATTTTACTACTCATACAAATAATATTACTAATAACAATAATGACAATAAAACAGCAGCAGATGCATGACTTCTCTTCATGACAGAGACAGACCCTCTGCTGCTGCTGCTGCTCCTCGTCTCCTGATTGGTTGAAGCCCGCGTCAAAGCTTCAAAAGCTCAGCTTTGCTCAGCTTCGGCGTCAGAGGGATTGTTGTGATACGCGAGCGTTTCGCGCGTCAAAAGCTTCAAGTGAGCGCGTAGTACGCGCGACTCTTGAAGCTTTTGACGCGCGTCAAGTGACGCCGGGGCTCTCGGCTTCACCTGACGCGCTTCACCATTCACTTTCAATGGAAACCTGACGCTTTTGACGCCGAAGTTAAGTCCGGTGTGAACGCCCCTTTAGAAATCTACTTAAGGACAACTTGAGAAGAAAGTTGAGTAGTTTCTTACGAAGTTATTCGTGAATGAGGCCCATTGTCTGTTCACTCGGCTAAAGTTGATGAGACAAGAGTGTTGGCTACAAAGCTTCTGTCTGAAACCCGTGGTGTAAACAGATTGTTGATCCACGTGGGGGCATTAGACATCTATCTATGACAAGTGAAAAGTTGAAACAGGATTTTCCTCTCTTATTGGACGACCTTGCAAAAATTGACTTAAAAATTGTTATTAGTGGACCACTACCAAATGTGGACGGGAAGCAAATGTAATTCAGTCGTCTGTATCAGCTAAATACTTTCCTACTCAACGAATGTTCATGCAGAGGACCTGCCTTTTTTATCTGTTCTGGAATAGGCATGAGCTTTTTGAAGGAAAAGGGCCACATTTGAACACTTACGGAGTAAAAGTGTTGATGGATAACCTTTCTTTTGCCCTGAGACCTCAGCCTGTGCAGCGCGTGCAGCCATCGAAAGGGAGTAAGAAGCAAAGTGCTTTTCCGGCAACAACACAAACATCTCCACCGACTCAAAGTCTCTGCACCTCCACTGCCTCGAAGGATCACAACACCTCCACTGCCTCGAAGGATTTCAAAACCTCCACCGTCATCAGGAGCAGCTGCATCATCACCAGTAGCAGCACCAGCAGCACGACCACCACCACCAACATCCTCATCCCCAGCCCGTACCGAAGCAGTCACGCCTTCTTCATCTACAGCGCCTTTGAAGCCCCCATCCTCACCCCAGGCTACAGTAGACAGGCCTGTGCTGGGGTTTCCTCAACCACCTGCCCCTCCATCAAAGACTCCCTCGCCACCTCCCATGGACCTGTCTTGGGTCCCCCCTGCCACGTCCACTCCATCAAGAGAGAATGGGGACACTTCCCTTTGTTTTCCATCCCCGCCTTCACTGTTAGACCTACCTGAACACTCTGTAGGGCTAATAAAATCTGCGATGAAGACTATTCCTCTCACACCCATATTAGCTCGATCTAGAGTCCTGTCCAACATTCAAAATCACTCCCCATATGTACCTCCAAAGCCACCTAGGGTTTCCAATTCTCCTGATTCACCTACTAAAACCACCTCAGCCCGTCCCACCCCCAACCTCATGACCATTCCATCCCCACTTCCCCCTCGTTCAACACCCAAAGCCTCAGCCCACCCCGCCCCTAACCCATCACCAAAAACCCCTCCACCTCCCTGCCCCCCTCATCCAACACCCAAAAGCCATCCACCTCTCTGTCCTCCTGTCCCGCCTTCCCCTTCCCCTCTTATCTCTAAACACTAGAAAGCACAGGGTCTCTGCTTCGCAGCCACAGGCAGTCTAGGTAGAGAAGAGACCCAGCTGTTGCCCTGTCATAAAGCCACCTGTGCCATTCCCTTAGTGATAACTCAAAGAATACATAACAGAAAGACATCTGGAGTTAATCGGTCTAATCTGGAAAATCTAATTCTTGTTCCGTGTAAGAATCAGCCAACCGCTGACACTGACACTTTGAAACTTGCTACGCTTAATGTCAGATCTCTTTGTAACAAGTCTTTTTTAATCAATAATTGTATTTGTTCTCATAATCTTGATCTTATGTTCATGGCTGAAACATGGCTTGACCAAAATTCAGGAAATGCAGTTTTAATAGAAGCATCACCGCCAAATTTCAAGTTTGAATCTGAAATACGGGAAAACAAAAAAGGAGGAGGCATAGCTGCCATTTTCAGAGACCACTTTGTCTCCCATAAAATATCTCTTGGGAAGTTTTTGTCATTTGAATATGTATCTTTTAAAATACAACAAAAACAATCTCCTCCAATACTCTTCATTGTCCTATACAAGCCACCGCAGTCATGTCACAGTTTTATTGATAATTTTACCGAGTTGCTTTCAGTTGTATGCACAGACTTTGATAGTTTAGTTATTACAGGTCATTTTAATATTCATGTGGATAATGTTAATGACAGAAATGCAAATGAGCTGAGTTCTTTTCTTGAATCCTTTGGTCTCACTCAGCATGTGAGTGGCCCCACCCACAGCAGAGGGCACACTCTAGGCCTGTTAGTTACTAAGGGGGTGAATATTTCAAATGTAAACGTGGTCGATGTTGCTCTTTCGGATCATTTCTGTGTTTTTTTTGACATGTGTTTCACTAACAAACCACCAGTGGACTCTGCAACTGTTCGAAGAAGGCGCATAAATGAAAATACGACTGAACTATTTATGGGAATGATAAACTTTGAGGATGCATCGTATTCTACTGTAGATGAACTGTTTAACTCTGTCACCTCTAGTGTTTTGAATGTTCTGGATACCGTTGCCCCTGTGAAGGTTAAAATAGTGAAAAATAAGCAGAAGGCGCCGTGGGCTAAAGCAGACTCGGTCAGGGCACAAAAGAGAAAGTGCCGGAGGGCCGAGCGGAAGTGGCGCAAGTCCAACCTCCAGGTTGATTACGAGATCTTCAAAGATAAGTTGTGCGAGTTTAACCGGGTGCTACGTAGTACGAGAGGTATTTTTCTGAAATGATTGAAGGCTGCAGCAACAATCTGCGTGTTCTGTTCTCAACAGTTAATAGATTAACAAACCCCCCTGTTCAGATGCCATCAGAGCTTACTTCCAAACGTAAATGCAATGAGTTTGCTAATTTTTTCAATGACAAGGTTCAAGGCATCAAAAACGCCATTGTCTCCAATCCACAGATAACCATCCAACAGCCAGAAAGGCTCTCTGAGCTAACTCACTTTGCACCTGTAAATGATAAAACTGTCCAAGAGATAATCTCCAGTTTGAGCTCCTCCACATGCAGCTTGGATGTACTACCCACTAGATTTCTGAAGTCTGTTCTGAGCAGTCTGTTACCTTCACTCACACAGATAGTAAACATGTCCCTTCATTCTGGAATATTCCCAAAGGCCCTGAAAACTGCAGTCATCAGGCCCCTGCTAAAAAAGAGCAGTCTCGATGCTACGGTACTTAATAACTATCGTCCCATCTCAAATCTGCCATTTATGGGGAAAGTCCTTGAGAAAGTTGTCTACCTACAGCTTACTAGATTTCTTATCAACAACTCATTTGATATGTTTCAGTCCGGCTTTAGACCCCACCACAGCACTGAGACTGCTCTCGTTTAGGTTACAAACGATATCCGGCTGAACACTGACGCAGGCAAAGTCTCAATCTTAATCTTGTTAGATCTAAGTGCTGCCTTTGACACAGTCGACCATGAGATCCTCTTACAGAGACTAGAGGACTGGGTTGGAGTCGCTGGCACCGCCCTGAGTTGGTTTAGGTCTTACCTTGAGGACAGGAAGTACTTTGTGGAGATTGGAAACTGTGTCTCAGATCATATGGCCCTGACCTGTGGAGTACCACAGGGGTCGATCCTGGGACCTCTTCTGCTCAATCTCTACATGCTGCCGTTAGGTCAGTTAATACGCAGAAACAAAGTGTCCTATCACAACTATGCAGACAACACTCAGATCTATGTCTCACTGACTGCAGGAGAACATGGACCAGTGGACTCACTCCTTCACTGTATCCAACAGATCAGTGAGTGGATGCAAACCAACTTCCTTCAGCTAAACGCAGACAAAACTGAAATGATTGTCTTTGGTCCCCCAGAAACAAAGAGAGAGCGTCATCTGTCACCTACAGTCTCTCTCCCTAAAACCTTCAAACAAGGTCAGAAATCTAGGGGTAATACTGGACTCAGACTTAAATGTTAATAACCACATCAAATCAGTAACATCAGCAGCTTTTTACCATCTAAAAAACATTGCCAGGATCAAAAACATAGTGTCTAAAGCAGACCTGGAGATTCTTATCCATGCATTTGTCTCCAGTAGGTTAGACTACTGCAATGGCCTGCTCACAGGTCTGTCCAAACAGGCTGTAAAACAGCTGCAGTACATTCAAAATGCAGCAGCTCGAGTCCTGACTAGAACCAGGAAGTACGACCACATTAGTCCAGTTCTCAGGTCTCTGCACTGGCTTCCTGTGGCTCAGAGAATAGACTTTAAAACAGCTCTGCTTGTGTATAAGTCTCTCCATGGCCTCGCACCAAAATATATTAGTGATATGTTAGTCCCATATGAACCAGCCCGGACTCTGAGGAGCACAGGGACTGGACTCCTGTTAGTGCCCAGAGTCAGAACTAAACATGGGGAGGCTGCTTTTCAGATTCATGCTGCTAAAATCTGGAACAGTCTTCCTGAAGATGTGAGACAGGCCTCCTCTCTGACAATGTTTAAAACCAGGTTAAAGACAGTTCTGTTTAACTGTGCATACAACTGAGGGATTTTATATTTTTCTTTCTTTTTAATGTTCTGTGATTATTTATGATTTTAATGCTTTCTTGTTTTGTTCAGCACTTTGAATTGCCTTGTGTATAAATTGTGCTATATAAATAAAATAAAATAAATAAAGTGTGTGTGTGCGTGTGCGCGTGCGCGCGCGTGCGTATATACATATGTACATGTATATATACATATGTACATGTATATATATATATATATACATATATGCATATACATATGTATATGTATATATATATGATTGATTAATCAAAATTAAATATTTTAATTGTTGGACAGCACTAGGTAAAACCAGTCTTGTATGTTTCCAGCCAGTGCCCAGCCCGCCACAGCCAATCGGAGGAAGACTGCTCTTGAGGAGGCGGAGCTTCAGAGGAAAGCCAATGAGAGAAGGCTGGCTGCTGTCACTCAGAGACAGAAGGAAGCGGAGCAGAACCGGCGCTTGATCCAGGGGGCGCTTTATACTCGGGTGAGAAGGTTTTCCATTTTTTTCATGTTATAACGCTGTCCCCCATCAGTCACAGACCTGGAGTTGTTTTTAGATCCATCCACACTAATCTCAGGAACTTCTGTCTAAAAGTTCCTGTAATAGTATTTTCATTGTACCACTATGACATCAAACTCAGAGCAGTTGTCTGCCTTTGTAAAAAAACAAAAAAAAACAAATTGGCCACAATCACGTTTGTGTTTGCACCCTCCCTCTGGTCTCTCTCATTGGTCTCTAGTCTCTATTTCTCTGGTCTATCTCTCTGGTCACTCGCTCTGGTCTCTCACTATCTCTCTCTCTCTGGTCTCATTATAATCTTCAGGGCGTAATATTTCTTCTACAAGATTATAACTGCTGACCGTCTGCAGGAGGGTACCCCCGGTGGCAGCGGAGGAAAGCACATTGTGTTTGGCTCTGATGATGAAGAAGAGGAGGAGCCGCTCTCAGCCAATCAGAACAAGGTAGAATATTTCTTCAGCTTCAATTTTTGTATTCCCTTTTTTTTTTGACATATACAAGTATACAAGTCCCACATCAAAAACATTATTTTAATTGGGGTACATGTGGTCTCAAATGATTCTTATTACAATTAAGTTTTCTCAATTATAATAATTTTTTTTATCTACCATGTATGTTTAATGCTGAAATTGCATTATTATTGACTACCAGATCTTTTTCAGAACAGGGAAGTGCGTTCTGCCAGTGTTTTCAGGGGATTTTACCTAACTTTGAGGAACCACAGAATATTCAGTTATTTGACTAAATAAACACCAAGGGCCAACTGAGAGATTAGGCTCTTTGCTTTAATCTGCAAAAAATTGCTTCTTTTTACCTTTTACTATCTGTCATAGATTTAGGACTGTCACAATTTTTGCTGTAACTGTATACACAGCAAAACAGCCCAAAAGATGGTAAAGTGAGGAGGAGGAGAAGAGGGAACTATAGCGAAAAAATGATCAAAGAAGAAATCAAGCCCGGGTGAATATAGCTAGCTAACATGGTATCCTCTGGAGAGACGGGAACTGGACCACCTCGGACTACATTTGGACGCGAAACTAGCAGTAATCTTTCAGTTATTGTACTGTATATTTTGTTAGCAATGCGTTGCTCTGGTACCATTTCATCAGTGATTGCGGTACATCTTATAAGAAGTTATCAATCCATCCATCCATTTTCTTCCCCTTAATCCATTTCTGGGTTGGAGCGTGGCAGTCAGAGCTTCACGCAGTACACTTATTCTGCTTTTCCACAGTAACAGTACGGTACGGCACAGTACGGCACGGCATGGCACGGCACCGCACGGTTATTTTGCATCTCCACTAGGGTCAGGCTTGGGATCAGGGGTACTTTTTTCGTACCTCCTCGACCGTGGTTCCAAGTGTTCCGAAGCGATACTTTGACGTGACGTCAGCATACTGCCTTACACTGATTGGTCAACAAGTGTCGTCACTGGAAGCGACGTCCGACCCTTTGGTAAAAACAACTCAACCCCGTCATCTTTAAAACCGGCTGCTCTGCCATGGATCTATAATAGGCTATAATACGTCCTCCTCACCCCAAAAGGCCCTGGTCGACAAGGTCCACACGTTACTCTCTTTAGGCTGAAGAAAGAATTCAAAGGCAGCTCGGAACTAGGTTTTCAGTGAGATCGCCCAGCTTTTGATTTGTGACTAGTCTGTGGTAATCCTAGAAATGACTGGTTAGCTACGTATCCCGTTGGCCCAAAGCTCTCACTGAAATGTATTTACTGTGTAAAAGTTTGATTGTCTGTTGTACACAGTGAGCTAGCTACATTTAGCTATCGATATCGATATCGAAGCTAAGCTAATATTTATGTGTATATTTATTAAGTGTATATTTATTTGTTTGAGAATCCCTTCCCACAAGTGAGGAGATTAGAGAAGGGGTTCAAAAGCAAAAGTTACGATTTCCTACCACATACTTTTACTTATATTTACATTACATACATTATATTTGTCTGTAAATCCGTATAACTCTGGTGATTTATGAACAAGGATGGAGATATTTGCTAAATACAAAAGTTTTATTTTTGGTCAAAACAAGGGCAAAATAGATGTTTAGGCATATGACAAAGTTATGCATCAGAACCAGTGGGGGCGGGTCCCGGCTCAAATGTGGCCAAATTGACGTGCTTGCAATACCACCCCGGGCCGATGGGGGTGGACCCAGAAGAAGAATTAGCCAATGCTAACATATAGCATTGGCAGACCTCTCGAAAACGTCTTTGCAGGATGGTCCAAAAGTTGGCTCTTGGCCCAAAGCTCCGTTCCACATGTGTGTCAACGCTGAGGAGGGTGAATTTTTTTGGTCCACTCTAGTTTACTTGCTGTGAATTTTTTAAGTCTCTCAAATTAATGAATGGGGCTATAGCTGGCTGACGCATGCACAGATGCGTTTTTTCACAATTTTCTTGTGGGCGCGGCCATTTTGGATAGCTCCAGTAGAGCATTATTTTTGGCCCATTAGTTAGAACGGCCGAGGAAGGCGTGACTACGTCCGTTAAAATATACAGTCTATGATCAGACCCTCCGCTGCACCACTGCTACACAGCTGCTGTTGCTACATGTGTGTCCCATTCTGTCACATGGTATCTCCATGGTTTTCACACAGATTGTGCAGAGCACAGCTGGTCAGCACCATTGACTTCACATGTTCAGTGTCCCAGTCATTCCTTTAAGACTGCCGAAAGCATTTTCAACAACCACTCGCGCTGTGCTTATTTTCTATTAAATACTTGCTGTTCGTCTGTCACTCGCCCGGTGTCTTGAAAAGGTTTTAGGAGCCAGTTCTGCAGGGGGTGAGCAGAGTCCCCTAGGCGGTAATAACCAGCTATCATCGATATTAAAATAAATCCATGCACCGCATCAATGTTACTGGTTACACGTCGCGCATAAATGACGTGGTCTGACAACCCCTCCCACGCTGAAGAGGTACTATTTTTAATGGAAAAGCATCCACACACGGCCGTGCCGCGCTGTGCCGTAAGATCATGGAAAGAATAAAGAATATAATGGAAACAATAATACTTTGTCACTATATCAAGTGATGTGTTATTGTATTATTTCAACTTGTAACTTTGCCTTATTTAAATCATTTATAGCTTGAAATCGCAGATTTTTGTCATTCTTCTCATAATTGACAGAGCGGCGCTGTGAGGCGAGCCTCATTTGGGAGACGTAAAAGCTACAGCTCACAGTGGAAGGAGCCCGTGCGTAACCACTAGACCACTATTAACTATTAACTACCTCAAGCAGGTGTTTCAACTGTCAATGAAGAACATAGCAAGTTTGGCATCAGACGAAAAGTTTTTATCCGCCTTCAATTGTCTTAAGTTTTCAAAGGCCTCCCGATATATAAATCCTCGTTTTAGTCTTTGTTTTGGTCGAGACCTTTTTTAGTTCTAGAGCCACATGTTATTTTTGCATTGAGATTAGCTAGCCGAGGGGAGTTCTGGCAACCCGGATCACGGACTTCCTGACTGGTGAAACGGTGGAGGGCGAGATATCGAAATAAAAACGAATAACAAGATTACGAGCTGTAAAGCTATCATTTTGAAATTCAAAAATCTCGGCTGAACTACTGTTATCAAGTTAAAGAAATATTTTAAGAGTATGGTTTATTTATGCCTTTTGAAATATTAGGGCTATTTAATGATTACATATTACATACTGAGTGTGCAAGTTTATCATTGTTAGCACGTGGACATTCTTTCCGTTGATTGTTGAAATTAAGACCGTTCTCTTTTTTTTATTAAGTCAGTACAACGTTTATTTAGCCTTTTCCATTGGTGTATTCACAGTAAAGTGTCAATTATAGTATCTGGACTTTAAAAGGTTATAACTCAAAAGCTAAAATTACTATCCCAGATTATGAAAAAACAAACACAAATATCAGAGATATTGTGGATAGAATCAAAAGATTGACAGATACATTTTTGGCAAAGTGTTAAAAAACCAGATCAGTCTCTGATTTGATGTCCACTGTGACTCCAGTTACATTTAAAATAAAAGGTCATCAGTCTTAGACAGACTTTATTGATCCACAAGGGAAATTGCGTTGTCACAGTAGCTTGCATAGTATTCCACATAAAAATAACAATGAAAATAACTATTATTAATCTTTACATCAGACTCAGTATAAAATTGGTCCATACAAAATCATAATACATTTTAAAAAATTACAGTATTCATAAAAAAGTGGCAGATGAACTCCCACAAGAGGCTAACACACAAATGAAAAATTCCTTTTTAAATTAAACGATTTAATCAAATGTGCATGTCTTAATCTTTTTAGAAAACATGTTATCTTTAGATAGAGAGAGCCAGAGACCAAAGAGAGAGACCAAAGAGAGAGACCAAAGAGAGAGCCCAAAGAGGGAGCCCAAAGAGAGAGCCCAAAGAGAGAGCCCAAAGAGAGAGCCCAAAGAGAGAGCCCAAAGAGAGAGCCCAAAGAGATAGCCCAAAGAGATAGCCCAAAGAGATAGCCCAAAGAGATAGCCCAAAGAGATAGCCCAAAGAGATAGCCCAAAGAGATAGCCCAAAGAGATAGCCCAAAGAGATAGCCCAAAGAGATAGCCCAAAGAGATAGCCCAAAGAGAGAGCCCAAAGAGAGAGCCCCAGAAAACTTTGGTTTTCTGGGTAATATTGGCATTGTTGGTAATATTGGTAATTTCTCAGGTGAAAAGGATGTTCTTCAATGTGAAGAACACATGTCTGTGTTCACAGCTTCCTCTGGTGGCAGCACAGGGAGTTATAGGCAAAACGCTTGTTTACCCTTCACCATATATTTTCTACTGAAGATATTTCACATTCTAAAAGATGAATTGGCAAAGTAAACAATGTCATTATTAATGCATAATATTCTTCTTTGAAACCAAACAGATCCAGACTTTGTCAGCTCCGCGTTTATTCGACAGTGATGAAAGCGAGGAGGACGAGGAGCGGTTGGAGATCAGAGCAGAGTTTGAGGGCTCTGTGGGACAAAAGGTAATCATCCACAATTAATCCTGTCTGCAGCCGCTGCACTCACTCCCACCTCTGTCCAGCTGATGGCGTTGCAGTCTCGCTTTGGTGCCGATGAGCGCTTCAGGATGGATGGCCGTTTCCTTGACGATGCAGAGGAAGAATGTTCCGGTTAGAAACAAATTTTCTACACTTATTCCACTTATAGAGCGCCCATTAGGTATGGACTAGCTGAGTGTGACATTACCATAGGAAGAGGTCGATTTGAACGTGTGTGTGAGTGTTTACTGTTTTCTGAGTGACTTAACCCGAGTCTGATGTCTGTGTGCAGAGTCTGCAACTGCACACACTGCCCAGCAGGGGGCGCTGCAGCAGGAAAAACAGAAGAACCTGAACATCCTTCACAGTGTCCTAGGCCCTTGCAGTACTGTATCTACACCAGGAGAGGGCAACAGAGCCAAAGCACTCACCTTCAGGTCTTGCACACACACAGATGTATGATGTATGATCTGGAGGGTGTTTGGGCCTAATGGCGTGTTCAGACCGCCAACGCTGGAACGCAGATTCCGCGCGCACCAGCACTCGGCTTGCAGCTCTCTAATTGGTCGCTGCAAGAGCATCCTGAGGAAACGTTCAGCAATATTTATCTCCTGCGTGTGTCAATTTTCCGCTCCTGCGCCTCTGCCGCACCTTTGCTGCACAGTCCGTGCGTCTCTACCGCACAGTCCATACGTGCATCCCGAGACGCACATGCAGTTCCACGCTCAAACGCACGTAACCATTGACTTTACATTGAAAGACGCAGCAACGTATGATCCGGTCTGAACGCGGCTTATGTAGCAGCCGCGGTCGAAAAGATGGTCTCTCAAACTGATGGTTCACAACTTTCTTTTATTGAGCCTTTCCTTTTGTGTGAACACACCGTAAAGCTCACCGCACACCGAAACGCAGCGCCTCGCGGCGCGTCATTTGACGCGCGTTCATGACATGTGTCAAATTACACCGGAACGCCTTGGCTAGCGTCCTTTTCCAGCTGATCGCAGATGAAATGGGTGAGTGACGTTTGGAAGTTTCTACTAATATTTTGGGGGAGGAAACAAAGTATTTACGTGAAATTATGCTGGCAAATATTACAAGAAAAGACTATTTGGACCCATTTTTTAAACAGGCTAATAACTAGCTCTGGGTAACGCTGTACTTGGGTTATCAAGCTTTCCTCGTCCATTGTGACCGGTTTACTTGAGCAATAGCGCCGACAAGTGTGTAAATTTGAGACCGCGCTCACAGCTACGTGATAAGAAGCGCAGAAGAAGAAAACTACGGGTGCTTGGAGGGACAGTTTCAGCCGCGGCGCCGCGTCTGGATTCAACAAAACTGAATCGTGGCGCCCGGTCCAGCGTCGCCGCGCGTCACTGCAACCTTGGTGTGCGTTCTCTCATAGAAAATAAAGGAGGCGGCTCTTTTGCCGCGCGTCAAGGCGTTTCGGTGTGCGTTGGGCTTAAGAGCTACAATATAAACAGACAAACGATACAATTAGTAACTCTTAGCAGCATGTGTTTTACCTTATACCTTTTTAACCATATACTATCTTAATGAATTACCTTAAATTATTAACTTTGACAATTTCTACTTTGAATGCTATAACCATGTATTTCTATGTATATTTATTAAACCCTTTTTTACCTTGTCCTTTTAAACCTTCTGTCTTTATCATGAAATAACCATTGCCCTTTTTACAATGTTGAACCTTTGAAATCACTATGCGTTAAACATGTCTTTAACTGAAGTACAATAGCACCATCTAGTGGGTGAAAAAGTTACCGTTAAACAAAAAGGCTAATTATAAACTCCGTGAAAACAAATGAAATGTACATTTACACAACAAAAACTTAATACCAACCTTGTTCCCTGATCAACCGGGTGCTAATGAACGATAATCTGCCAATAAATAAAACCTTAATTTATACTTTTCTCGACCTTTGCAGGGAGCACACTTTTTCTGTTAACCTCTTTACTAACACCGGCGCGCCGGCGGCCGTTTTTATGTTTTTAAATGTTCTGCTGGCAATAGCAGATGTATTTTGAACACCAAACCCCAAAAGCTGTATATCATTTTAAAGCTTATTTTCTTATCTACATTTATATACAAGTGTAAACTACATCAGACTTTGCATTCAAAAGATATAACACATAATGTGGGCACAAAATAAATCAATTCCAAAATAGTTTTTTACCTTTGGGCTTGTGCTGTACAAATAAATCAGCTCTCCTCCCAGCTTGCAATACATCATTCTCTCTGGAACAGTCCAAAGGGAAATTATATCCACTTGTATTTCCCAAAGTAAAATCCATTCTGCAGAAATAATCCAAAAATGTGCATTTATCTTTAGCAAAAAAAACGAAAAAAAAGAGTACAGATGTTACTCTTTCACTTTTAACGGACTTTTAGCTTTGTTTTTCACCCAAACATCTGGTATCTACGTGTTCCTTAGCTCCTTATCTTTCAAATGAGACTACTCCCGAAAAGCTAGACCAATTTTTGGGTCTGCAAGAGCTACCGCGAGTACAGCTAGTGCTGCTGTTTGCGCATTGATCACTGATCTTTGTTGTGATCCCAACTTGTTTGCTTTTACTTCCGGGATTTACGATTGACATGTCCTTGTAGCCAATGAGGAACGCTTTCGAACAAGGGGTGGGACAATGGTGTCCTGTCTTATGTTGGGCCTGGACAATTTTGCGTAATGGCAGCCAAAAGACGCTCTTGAAGCTGCAATGAATTTACACTCATAAAAAAATAACTTTGACATTTAAAAAAGAAAAACACACATAGATTAGTAACTTATAAGTACCAATAATAAAAAATATTGTTTTTATGATGATTAAATGTAAGTAAAGATATTTGGCACAATTTGGCACACTTGTGCCAAATTGTGCCAAATGTGCACTACTTGATGAAAAGGAGAAACTGCATAAAAACTATAAAACTCTAAAAAAAAGTCTGAAACTTTAGACAGTTGTTGTCAACAACACAATGAACAGAGGGTTTGAATATTGTGAACTTACAATGAAGTATGCCTTTTTTAGGGCCTTTAGAAATTGAAAATGTTAGGCGAGGCTAAAAAAATTGGTGTTTTTTTACATAAACTAGAAGGCTCTAGCTTTAAAATGATGCATCACACAAGCATGTGAGATGTAAGATGTGTTTTTAAATAAGCAAAGACATTTGGGTATGCCCAACCATTGTGCACGAGCCAAAATTAGGCGGATGTTAAGAGGTTAATTCACGTTCGCGGAACACCTTTTAGCTTTTGCAGCAATTACTTCCGCTTTACGGCACCTTTTCCGAATTCCTTCAAAGTAAAAAACTTAAACTGTACTATTCTTACAAAAATAAAATAACACGTCTGAACCAATTAGCAAAATGGGGAAATATTATCAAAGTCATCTCCCACCAAATCATTAGAGCTAGCTGTACCAAATGTAGCAAAAATGATTTCCTAATGAAGAAATTACTTGCAACCTGTAAAGTCTTTCAATACAAAGAGTCCATATTCAAGTATAAACTGTAAATCTTAAACTGTAAATGTCATTAAAGAGTCTCTAGGAGCAGAACCAGTTTCTGCACCGGGCGTTCCACAATGGAAGGTTTTCCAGAACATTGTCCTTTCTCTCTCTTTTCTCCAAAGCGAAGCTTTACCTTTCTCACGAGTCCATCCTTGTCAGTTACTGTGTCTATTACTCGTGCTAATCTCCATTCATTGCGCGGTAGATCGTCCATCCTTTCCATGACAACATCTCCAACTTTCAAGTTTCTCCTTGGAGTGTGCCATTTTTGTCTTGTAGCGATGCTGGAAAGATACTCCTTTTTCCAACGAGACCAAAACTGTTCTGATAAGTACTGCACCTGCCGCCACCTTTTACGTGCGTAAATGTCCTCTTTGATGAATTTACCTGGAGGAGGCAGGGCTGCTTTTTACTTCATAGTAAGCAAGTGATTTGGGGTCAATGGCTCTGGGCTTTTTGGGTCTGTTTACGATCGCCATTGCCTCATAAAAGAATGTCCGTAGTGATGTGTCGTCCATTCTGCCTGATGAAAGGGAAGCTGTGGAGCGCAGAATGTTTCGAATTGTCCTGATCTGTCTTTCCCATACACCTCCTGTATGGCTTGAATGAGGAGTGTGCATTTGGAAATCACACTTTCTCAGCAAGAAATGTGGCAATGCGGTTGGAGTCTACTTGCTTTAAAGCTTCATGCAGTTCGTTTTTAGCTCCGACAAAGTTACTTCCTTGATCACACCTTATCTCACTGACAGCTCCTCTTATGGCTATAAAACAGCGGAGTGCATTGATAAAGGCGTCTGTAGTCATATCGTCCAACATTTCTATGTGCACTGCTCTGCAGCAAAGGCATGTAAAAAGAAGTCCATAGCGCTTCTGCACTTTGCGAGCTTGCTTTGTTAGAAAGGGACCGAAACAGTCCATTCCACAAAATGTGAACGGTGGTGTAGGATCTAAACCAGGGGTGCTCAATACGTCGATCGCGATCTACCAGTCGATCGCAAAGGTAGTATTGGTAGATCGCATTAAATAAATACAAAATTACACATTCTAAACGAATATATACAAAAAACTCCGGGCAAAGTGGAGATTTTTGAAAACTCCGTTAATGCATTTGTGTGTAGACAGAGATAACCAGAGTTTTGCGTTCTCGCACGCCACAGTACCCCCCTAAATTCCTCTGATCACTGAAGCATGGATCATACTACCTTAAAAACTGTTCGCTGTGAGATGCTCGCAGCAGCAAACATCCTCGCTCCACATCAGAGAGCAGCAAAGTGATCGCGGGGACTCGCGCTCGAAAACAACCAAACCAGGACTAAACCAGGACTAAACCAGGACTAAACCAGGACTAAGGACGGGGTCAGTGCTTGTAAAGATACGTCTTTACTCTGAGTGTCTTCTATGACTGTAAAAGTGCCGTTACCGGCGTCTGCATCAAAGCTCCGCCCACTTCCGTGTTTTTCCCCAACGCAGGACAGGACGTAATAGACGCACATGTTTGGAATGTTACGAATGTGATTGATAACGCAGATGTGTGGATGCAAATTATTTTATAAACTGAGGAGGGGAAATATTTGGATTTAAAAAAAAACAGGCATGGCACATGGACATGGCACCACAGTCAAATGACATCTGTGTTTTACTCAGTAATGTTTTACTGACACTTAGGTGACTGCACATGCGCAAATAACCGCGCTCAGTGCAGGAAAGCTAAACCACGACAAACTTGCCACCGAGTTACCACCAATTTTCCGGACTATGCATCCCTGGCCGATTCAATTCACTGCAAGTCATAAGAGTAAACTTGGGTAATGACAAAAAATGTACATAGGTAATTGTGTTGTGTTGTGCTATATTGGCTCATGCGGTTTTGCATGTACATAAACATACATTGTAGATATAAAGAATATTTTTTGAAATAAATATATGATTTGCATTTTTGTAGTAGGTAGATCATTTTGACTTGATCCTTTTATAAGTAGCTCGCATGCTGAAAAAGTGTGAGCACCCCTAGTTAGGCTAAAGACACAATATAATCACCAGGGTCACAGAGAGAGCTAAATCATATATTTAAGACCAAAATGATGAGTGAGGCACAAATGGTTACTGGGCTAGAGGAGTTTAATTTACATGTAATAGAAGCCATAGAGAGTTGAAACTAAACTTTCACCATGAGCGAATTAGCATTGAGCTAGCGGGTTGTCTATCTGTATACATGCTATGATTTGAATCTGTTTTTTAATTCCAGAGAGACAACCTCGGCCCTCTTTTTCTTCTGCGCCAACGACCCACGCCTCACAGGTCAGTAGGGCATCATGGGAAGTATTGTTTTCGCTAGAGATTACAGATGCGCACGCACAAACGCATATACACAAATACGGCTTTTTATGTCCACTCCCCCCCCCCCCCCCCCCCCCCCCCCTTCTGTCCACTTGTCCCTCCCCCTTCTGTCAACTCGCTCTGGTTTCAAACTTGTTATAATAATGAATGTGTCTTGTGTTTCAGATGGACCTCAGTGGTTCTGCAGGACTTCTCTAGACAAACAGAGAGAGAGCTGGGACCAGACCAGGACCCAGCTCAGACAGGTAATAAGACTAAGAGCAGGACCAGTCAAGGACCCAGATCTAAAGTGGGTCTAAACTGGACCTGAACCAGGTCTAAACCAGGTCTTTCTCATTTCAGGACTGTAAGAAGAAACACAAAGACGCTCGGAGGAAACTGCGTGTACAGCGTTGAGCTTCATGGAAAAATACCTGAGTGATGTCATTATTGCAATAAACATTTATAAATAAAATAAAATAAATAAATAAAAATGTGAAAGACTTTTGTGGAACTTTTGTCCAGGTCAGGTCTGAGGTCAGGTCTGAGGTCAGGTCTTAGGTCCGGTCGATTAAAAAAAAAAATACAATCCTAATCAGGAATTGCCCCTGCGGAGAAGTTTAGTGGCAGACATGATGGGGACTCAGACTGAGGTCCACTTGCATGTATAGATAGATTATATAGAGATAAATTATCCACAATGTAATTTAGATTAAGAGAAATGTAAAGAGTGTATTTCTCAAACTTGAAATGCAGTAATTGCACTTGCCACTGATCATCTTGAGCAACTGCCACAAAAGAAACCTGCCCTCTTATTGTGAAGGGCAGCTTTTATTGTGAATGGGCGGTGAGTGGAGTTTGTCTGAAGTTTGAGATGCGCTCAGTCTGTGCCCTGGTCCCAGGGGAGGAGGTGGACTTTGAGACTGGACTGCAGCGGCTTGATGCTGATGTTCTTCATCACTTTACCCTGGTGTGACGTCATCCACGAAACGCGCGTGAGGACGAGATGAGCGCGTGCCGGACTGTGTTTATACTGATGCTATGCGTGTGCGCATGGACAGCAGAGCTCCGGGACCAGAGCCCGGTTGAGGAGGCTGTGCAACCGGGGACAGAGGAGCAGAGCGGCACGGGGGTCCAGCGTTTCCAGTCCCGCGTGGAGCGGGGGGTCAAAGGCTCGTGGAGGGAGAGGAGCTCCGTGGATCCGGGGCTCCGCTTTTTCACCCCTGCAGCCCCCACTCCCCCCTCACCCCGGCGCGTGAATGCGTCGCTTCGCGCTTCGCTGCTGCCCCTTAGTGGGGGGGCTCCGTGGGCACTCGCACTGCTGATGCTCGCGGTCGCGGTGATGTGTGTGGGAGTGGGCGCTGCGCTCGCGCTCATGTGTCTTGTGTGGAACAGTCTGCAACTGCAGAGCGCATGGAACTGTGTGCTGGCCGCGCATGCGCTCTGGGACTTCATTGTGCTGTGCGTTTGCGTGCCTGTGGAGGTTACGCACCAGCTCACGAGCACGCGCATCTTGCCTGCACTCTCCTGCGGCCTTGCGCCCTTTTTACAGGTGAGACAGGCCCTTTTCTACTGGTGAGACGTGTCAAAAAAAGTCTCGTCGCTGTCTCTGGTAACTCTCTTTGGTTATTCTCTCTGGTTCATGTCGAAATAACACTTTTAAAACTGTGTGGATAAAACATGAGCCACAGGGGGCGTGATGGATCTGGTGTGAGGCTGTCTTCTGATTGGCTATTTTGTGCAGGTGAGCTCGATGGGCGTGGCCACCTTCAGCCTATGTGCTTTGAGCATTGACCGTTTCCATAGCGCCACAAGCCCTGCCTCCCTGAGCGCGCGGATGGAGCCGTGCGCCTCTATCCTGCCCAAAGTCAGCGTGGTGTTTGTGGGTGCGCTGCTGCTGGCCGCGCCCGAGCTGCTGCTGCACCGCGGAGTCAGACTGCCCCTGGAGGAGGGAGGAGGGAACTACACACAGGTAACACTGTCGGTTAAGCTCACTAGCCCGCCGGCGGGGGCAAACGAGAAAAAAAATACATCTGCTGGCAATAGCAGATGTATTTTGAACTTCATAAGCCACAAGCTATATATAATTTTAAAGCTTATTTTCTCAGCTATATTTATATGTAAGTGTAAACGATATCAGACTTTGCAATAATCCTAAAATGTGCATTTTTCTGTTGCAAAAAAAAAACGCTCCGAAAGATGTTCAGACTTCTCTTTCACAGTCACCGAGAGGTTTCATGAAAAGATAGGAGTAGGTTTCAGTCCGCAGGACCCTTGTGAATAAGACGAACCACATCCATTTGCACAGGGTCCGTTTTTGCCTTGTTGTTGATTACAGGCTAGCGCAATGTGCTAGCACTGAATGATTGGCGCGTCTAAGTAGCCAATAAAAAGAGCTTTCTTTTGATGGGTGGGACTTGTAGGAACTCTTTTCATTTTCACAGTAAAAGCATGCGTAAAGATGCTGTTAGTACTGCTGCGCATATTTTATATGCATTTACACTACTAAAAGAATTTTTTGAAAAAATTTGAAAAATCACACAGATTTGTAACTTATAAGTACCAAAACTAAAAAATATGCTTTTTATAATGGTGAAATGATAGTAAAGCAGTTTGGCACAATTTGGGACACATTTTGCCAAATTGGTTCCGAATGGCACTACTTGATAAAAAAGAGAAACTGCATAAAAACTATAAAACTCAGAGGTCTGAAACTTTACACAGTTGTTGTCAACAACACAATGAACAAATTGGCTTTGAATATTTTCTTCTTCCAATGAAGTAGGCTTTTTTAGGGCATTTATACGTTGAATTTTTGTGCACGAGCCAAAACAGATGTAGGAGTTTAAGAGGTTAAGAAGGGAGGGGGGGAACTACCATAGAGCCTATATTACTAGCTGGGACCAATTTCCTTCTATGTGCATTTCTTGTGCTATAACGGGGCAGACGTGTTGCTAAGGCAAGCTGAAGTTTCCCCCACAAAGGAAGGCTGGGGGACTGATTGGTCAGTCCCTATATTGCTCATATCTGGATCCACAAAGACAATATCATAATAAAAACACTATGGGTCACAGAGAGCGGATTTAAACCCAAAATGGTGAGTGTGACACAAACGGTTACTGAGCTAGAGGAATTTACTTTTGCATTCAAGTCAATAGGAACCAGAACACTTCCCTATGGGGCTTCATTGAGTTAGCATTGTCCATCTACAAACAGTCTACACCTCACAGCTAACACAGCACCGGGTCAGATGCTTCTCTTGATAAAGTTTTACCCTAACTCACCAAATACCTGTGGTTTAGCTCTCTTTGTAATCCTGGTGTTTATTTTGTGATATTGTCTTTGTAGTTCCAGATATGAGCCATATAAAGATTGACTAATCACGAGCCTTCTGTCCCCACCAGGCCAGTTCCTGACTCTGACTCTTGGCTCTTTGGTTGCTAGGTCGTTACCATCCACAAATGTGTTGTTTTCTTTACATGGAGCCTGTTTGATTTTGTTCTAATCCTCCTCCTCTTGACAGCTGGACGTGTGCCTGCCAGAGCCCGCCCCCGAGCTCCCATTGGCCGTGCTGTCTCTGGTGCTGACCTATCAGGAGGCCCGATGCTGGTGGGTCCTGGGCTGTTACCTGCTCCTCCCCTTGCTCTTTACGCTGTCATGTGACTTGGTGACACGACGCGTTATGTCACAGCGAGCCGAGCTGATTGGACGACAGGAGAGCAGTAGCCGAAGCCCCTCCCCCTCTGACGCTAAGAAGGATCTGAGCAGGTGAAGGCCGATAGAAGCTGTTTTAACAGTGACTTGAGTGAAAGTACATAGAAAAGCGGTTTTCTGATTATTTCTCTCTCCCCACAGAAGCCCCTCCCCCTCGGCATCTGTAAACAGGAAGCTGGTGGAGCAGGAGGCAATGCTTCGGTCCGTGATTTGTGCTCTGATTGGCCTGTACTGCGCATGCTCGCTCCCAGAGGCTTTGTGTGATGTTGCGCTGATTTATGCTCCGGCGCTGGGCGTGACCTCTCTGTCTGTGGGCGTGGCCTATGTGCCTGTGAGCGTGGCCTCCATGCCTGCACTGCGCCTCATTGGTCAGTTCTTGCTGTACGTGCGCTGCTCGGCCACGCCCCTGCTCGCGCTAGTGTTCAGCCGCGCTCTGGGACGTGCATTTGTGCGCTGCTGCTGCTGCTGCTGTGAGGACTGTGGAGAAGCAACCACTGTGAACACGCCCACTCTGTCTCTGGCCACACCCTCCACGCTGTTAGCAACGCCCCTCTCTGCAGTAGCCTCGCCCATAAGGCAGCAGGGGCGAGGCCTCGGGACGCCCTGCTGAGGATCAATTATATTTTTGTTTTAGTTTTGATCGAGTTTAGAAACTTCGTTTAGAAACATTTTAGTGAAATGACTTTTCAGAAGTGATGATGTCAACGATAACGTCAGCAATGTCAGTTTCTGCTTTCATGCTCTCTCGGAAACTCGGATATGTCTGAATCAATCAATCAACCCTTATTTGTATTGCACTTTTCCTATACAAGGTAACACATAAGGCATGTATCATTACATAAATCATAAACATTAAAGTCACAAAGGACATTAAAAAAACATTAAGATAACATAGAATATTTAAAACAATATATTACTTTTATTGTACTTAATCTTCCGATACACACTCGTTGAGTTTCAGCCCGTGTTGAACAGCGATATATTCCCATTTTTCCAAGTTTCTGAGATCACATGAACGTGGCCAGTGATAATGTCAGAGATGTCACTCCCAAGTCAAGGCTAGAGCTAGTTTGAACAAAAAGCCCTGGACCCTGGGCTTCTGCTGGGTCTGGACCATGTGGACTTTTTGGAACCTGGTCTTCTGCTGGGTTTGGACCATGTGGACTGAGCACACACTCAGTTTCATCCTCAAGACACTTTCCAAATTGTTTACTTTAGTGGATTTGAACCATAGATTGCAAAATAGGAAATAAACAGTCTATAATTCAAACGTCTGGTTTTGTTCAGAGAAGCGAAACCCTCTGGTCTCTTTTGTTCTCAGACTGTTGCAGATGTGGCACAAACACAGTGTTGTGATCTGACCTGAGATCAGTGAGAACAGAAGTTGTGTCACTAAAAGGTCAATGATGTCGTCACGCTCTCACTGGCCCCGCCCCCTGATGCTTGTGGGAAAGCTCCTGTTCAAACTGATTTTATTCAGACTTTTAAACAATCTGCAGCAATATCAAGTCTTGGTCCAGGTTTGTGTTTTGAACAATGGTTTTGATTCCTGTCTGTCTCCTTGGCGACGACCCTCTTGCTCAGTTCTGTGTTGGGGCTCTGAGCAGTCAATAATGCTAATTTACAAGAACTTTGATCAAATCCAATAGAAGCAGAGTCAAGTGTGTCTCAATAGTGGAGGGCATACACACACTGAGGAAACATGTTGTGTTGTAACACTGAGGGGTATGTAACTTTCAAACCACAACGGTCTTGGTCTTGGTCCTGGTCCTGGTCCCGGTCTTGGTCCCATGTGTGTGTCCTGTTTCGAGGTTAAACTCTTGAATTGTGTGAAGTGTATCCGTCGTCATGGAAACGCCTGTGTCTTTGGTGTTTTTCAGCAGCTGCTGGGGGTTGGTGGCACTGGGCTGCAACCGTGGTAACAGACCCCACAAAGACCAGTCTGTTTAAAGAGAACAAAACACTGTGACTGAGGGGATTAAAATACAAATACTACTACTACTACTGCTGCTGCTGCTACTATATCTACAACTACATTAACAATGCTAAATACTTCTATTTCTACTACGATTAATACCAAAGTGCTTTTCGTTTCCTTGAATGAACTTGGAAGATTAACTTTTCTGTCTGAAAAAGCTGATCTAAAGATATGCCGTTTTTTGAGCCAGTGACTTGTGTAAAACTTTGACAGAGTTCTGTTGTAGTAGTCTGAAAGTTACATACCCCAGCTTTAATTTGAAATGTGATGTTATTTTCACTCCACGATGAAACAAGTGCTGAACGGCCTCAAGTGGATGTCTAAACCATTTTAGAATAACATCTCTGTGTTCTGAGAGGCCCGGTTTCCCATGTGGTTGTTGTATGAGCTGCCGGATCCTCTCAGCCGCACTATGTGAGAATATTACTGTATAATCCGTCTCACTGTATGGCTGAAGGGGAGCCGTTGTTCAGGGGAAATGACTGGAGTTGTGGGTCTGAAAAGAACTCCCACTGCTGCATGTTTGACTGGCTCTGGAGACTGTTGGGTCTGGACTCCAGTATCTCTCTAGTCTCAGTCTCTCTCTGGTCTCTCCCTGATAGACCTGGTCTGGACCATGTCCCTGGTGCTTTTGTCTGCATTATTTGCCACAGCTTTGGTCGTAGAGCCAACAGCCGGACGTCCGCTGTCCCCCATAGCTGCTATTGCTCAGAAACCCATTCAAAACCCTGGTGAATCTGAAGACCAATCCTGCTGGGACCCCGAGTTTAGTCCCCCTCATGTCGTGTTCACTAGGAGCCTCTGCTGTTATTGTGTCTTATGATGTGCACGGACTGCGTGTTGGACATAGTGATGGGGATACTTCTTGAATCCTGTAATGTATTATACAAGAGACCTTTTTAGCAGAACAGGACCATGGTAGTCTCAAAGGCCTACATAAGGATTTTCATGCGGCTGGAGAGTCCACTATAGCCTGGCCTTAGCCATCCATACACTCTGGTCAATCATAATTTCCCTGCATGTAACGTCTGGGTCTGGTCCCCATGTTAGCGATCACAATCGCTTGAATTTCGACCAATCAGAGAGTGCGGAAGGCGGGTGTTGTTTAGACGTTGGTGACGTCAAGAGTTTGTGTCGAACGGCAGGTTGTAGTTTGGCAATGGCGAAGAATGCGATAGTAAAGTAATCCGGACTGGTTCTATCAAGAAATTGAAGCCGGAGCATGAGGAATGTTTAGCAAATGTAATCGCTGGTCAAGATTGTGGCGCTTTTCCCCACGGGCTCCGTTAGCTGCAAAGGAGATGGCTAAAGCTAGGCTAAATGCTAACGACTCACTCAGGCGTCACGGCAAACTCTGATCTAATCGTTTCTATCTGCAAAAGGAGTTAACCCCTCCCACCTGTTAACTGAGCTCAATGGAGCACCTCCAGACCCTACGAAATGTAATTTGTACTATGGTGTGGTACGACCAGACTAAGTCCACTACTGATCTTGATAAAAGATAAGATAAGAGTTCCTTTTCGTACCACAGTGGGGAAATTTCGTTGTTGCAGCGCACATACAGGACAGTAGTAAGAGCACACAGGGAGCACACAATATAAACAAAATACGTAGTAGTTATGTTCCTTAACTAGCATAACTGGCTGTAGGTGCTGGAAATGCTTCAATGCCAGTCAAAAAATATATACATGTAGTAGTGCAGAGTTATGTACTGTACATGTAGTGCAGGATAATAAGTAGATAAGTAAAGTGACATAAGGTACAGTGACATTGCTCTGTGACATTCTGAAGTTGCAGTATTGCACATGATTTAAGAATTTACTTATTTACAGATGAATGAAATTTACAGGCTCAGAACCTCTCCTTCACACAGCGAGGGTGAATAAGTCTGTCACTGAAACTGCTCTCCAGAGCAGAGAGAGTGTCCTGCAGGGGGTGACAGTCATGGTCCAGCATAGATGTTAGTTTGTCCAGGACCCTCCTGTCCCCCACCTGCTGCACTGTGTCCAGGGAACAGCCCAGGACTGAGCTGGACTTCCTGATGACCTTGTCCAGCTTCTTCCTGTCCCTCTCTGTGATGCTGCTGTTCCAGCAGACCACACCGTACAAGAGGCTGATGCCACCACAGAGTCATAGAAGGTCTTCAGGAGTGGCCCCTGCACTCCAAAAGACTGGAGCCTCCTCAGCAGGTGGAGGCGGCTCTGGCCTTTCTTGAAGGGGGCGTCTGTGTTATGAGTCCAGTCCATTTTGTGGTTCAGATTAACGCCCAGGTACTTGTAAGAGTCCACTCTCTCAATGTCCTTTCCCTGGATGTTCACTGGAGCTGGAGCGGCAGAGTGACGTCTGCGGAAATCCACCACCATCTCCTTGGTCTTCCCCGCGTTGATGAGGAGGTGGTTCCGCTGACACCAGTCCACAAAGTCCTGAATTACTCCTCTGTACTCTGTATCATAAAAGGCAGTATTGCTGGTGGTGTAGCCATTTTATGGCGTAAGAACTATGACAATATGGTTTAAGTCCTATAACTAGGAGTGGACTGGGCTATTGGACTAGAATTTCACTATAATGATGGTAAATTTATTATTCTGAATCTATTTACTCCGTATGAATGCACTGATAATGAACATGAGTATGTAAATAGCTTGGCATGTATTATGGCTTTCATTGAAGGCTTGGACTGTTCGTGTATACCGTATATAGTTGGAGAAATTAATGCAGATATTTCAGATGACAGCTCTTCTTTTGGAAATCATCTGAAACAATTTTGGTGTGAAAATGGACTTGTCCAGTCAGGCGCTTCTGCCTGCAGAAAGCTAAATTAGGGATGCATGGCACACCACATCATGGCTGGATCACTGCATATGTAGTGCTGACGCACATGCATCCATTGTGAAAATGCATATTCATTATAATATGGCTACATGTGACATAGAATATGTCCCAAAATTACTTGAGTGCCCGGATTGGTCTAGCCTTAGCTGTGAAGAAGTGCATGCTTACACCCAAAGAACTGAGTATTTTATAAAGGATGTCATACTACCTAAAAGTGCCATACTGTGGCACATGTTAATTGTAATGATCCTGAGCATGGGGCTCAACTCTACACCTTATATGACACAGTTTTAGATATCCTCATTCATTCTGGAAAGTCTTTATGTAAAAGGAATAATAATAACCATAGAGGCAAACCTGGGTGGAACATGTTTGTTGAGGAACCACATCCTGAGGCTCAAAGGGCTTTCAAGGCCTGGTATGAAGGTGGAAAGCCAAGATCTGGCCCCGTTTTTGAATATAAACGGGCAAATGCCAAATATAAATATGCCCTCAGATACATTAAGCGTATTGAGAACACATTAAGGGCTGATTCTTTAGTGTCAAAATAATAAGTATTCTGACTTCTGGAAAGAGGTTAGTATGATAAATAAATGTAGAACCTCCCTGCCCAATAATATTGATAGGGTAAGTGGACCATATATCTTTCAGCACTGGAAGAATTATCACAATCTGTTTAATTGTGTGGAGAGCAATATAAATACAATTGTCAGAAAACCTGTTGGAAATCACCCTAGAGTGATAGTCACTCCTCAAGAAGTGTGTGAAGCAGTCTTCAAGCTGAAAAACAACAAGTCTAGTGGGTTAGATAAAGTGACTCTGAACATTCAAAGTTTGCCAGCACAAGACTATATCCTCTCTTAGCCCTTTGCTTCACTGGGTTTCTGGTTCATGGCCCTTTGCCACAGTTGCTTTTGTCCATTATATTGATTTATGTAATCAAAAATAAGACGGGTAAACAATTACCGCCCAATTGCTTTAGCAAGCATCGTGTCTAAGGTTTTGGAGATTATTCACTTAACCCGTCTCGAGCCATATTTGTACACCACTGCTAACCAGTTTGGCTTCAAGCCTCCACATGGTACTGACATGTGCATCTACTGTATGCCCTCAAAGAGATGGACAAATATAACTCTCAGGAATCTACTATGTTCATGTGTTTTCTGGACGCATCTACAGTGCCTTGCGAAAGAACCTTTCAAGATTTCGCCACATTTCAGGCTTCAAACATAAAGATATAAAAATTAAATTTTTTGTCAAGAATCAACAACAAGTGGGACATAATCGTGAAGTGGAACAAAATGTATTGGATAATTTTAACTTTTTTAACAAATAAAAAACTGAAAAGTGAGACGTGCAATATTATTAGGCCCCCTTGCGCTAATACTTTGTAGCGCCACCTTTTGCTGCAATTACAGCTGCAAGTCGCTTGGGGTATGTCTCTAAGTTTTGCACATCGAGAGACTAGAATTCTTGCCCATTCTTCCTTGCAAAACAGCTCGAGTTCAGTGAGGTTGGATGGAGAGCGTTTGTGAACAGCAGTCTTCAGCTCTTTCCACAGATTCTCGATTGGATTCAGGTCTGGACTTTGACTTGGCCATTCTAACACCTGGATACGTCTATTTGTGAACCATTCCATTGTAGATTTGGCTTTATGTTTTGGATCATTGTCCTGTTGGAAGAGAAATCTCCGTCCCAGTCTCAGGTCTTTTGCAGACTCCAACAGGTTTTCTTCCAGAATGGTCCTGTATTTGGCTCCATCCATCTTCCCATCAATTTTAGCCATCTTCCCTGTCCCTGCTGAAGAAAAGCAGGCCCAAACCATGATGCTGCCACCACCATGTTCGACAGTGGGGATGGTGTGTTCAGGGTGATGAGCTGTGTTGCTTTTACGCCAAACATATCGTTTTTGCATTGTGGCCAAAAAGTTCGATTTTGGTTTGAGACTATCAAAGAGCAGGTGCATTTATACGGAGACTTGATTACACACAGGTGCATTCTATTTATCATCATCAGTCATTTAGGACAACATTGGATCATTCAAAGATCCTCACTGAACTTCTGGACTGAGTTTGCTGCACTGAAAGTAAAGGGGCCGAATAATATTGCACGCCCCACTTTTCAGTTTTTTATTTGTTAAAAAAGTTTAAATTATCCAATAAATTTCATTCCACTTCACGATTGTGTCCCACTTGTTGATTCATGACAAAAAAATTAAATTTCATATCTTTATGTTTGAAGCTTGAAATGTGGCGAAAGGTTCAAGGGGCCTAATACTTTCGCAAGGCACTGTATTCAACTGCGTTTCCTTTGAAAAAATTTGCTAAACTTTGATACATTACAAAAATCTCTCTTGAACTGCAGAAGTAAATAAATAAATAATGAATGAATAAATTAATTCATAAATATTAATATCATTAACTGAATGAATCATCTTGTGAATGCAATGGAGCGCTGTACACTTGAGAGAGGATGAGAAGCTTTTGGGAAGTTGTGGTCCAGGATTTCACAGAGAAACTCTGGATCCAAAACTTCTGAACCTCATGGCACCCGCTGCGCACTGTCCCGTTGCTATCCTGTCTATAAATTGCTACATTTGGACAGGGCAGAGAGACATTTGGAATGAGCAAGCCCATAGTCCATCAGTGCGTTTATGGGGTGTTTGTTTGAGGCTTTCATAACTAATGGAAAAAATACATTGCTTTGCCAGATGGGCCTGCCACAGATTTACAGAGAAATAGATGGGTCACACATCCCTGTTGCGTAAGTTAGTAAGTAAAGTGCATTTTTATAGCGCCTTTCACAGTCCAGGATCACAAAGCGCTTCACATTTAAAAAAACATACAGATGAAAATACACATACGAGTCAGATTTAAAAACGAAGAAACAGAAGAGGGTCCTCATCATGAACTGTGATGTATTCGAAGTTTGCGTGTTTCCATTAGACATTTTCTGATGCGCAAATTTATATTTTGAAATGTGATGCTCAATGAAAACTCAGATTATAATTTTGCCAGAGTGGGAGTATGTTTATTGTTGTCCAAATCTTGAATTTCATGAGTGTTTTGGTATGTGGTGATGATGTGAGATGAGCGTATACATTTACATCACCTCCTGACTCTTTATATTTTGTGAGTACCATACGCCCACGTCCAGATTATCGAAAAGTGTACATTTTTTGCGCACGCCTTATTTTCATCCTTATTTGGCCGTACGCAAGTTTCATAAATGTGGGCCAATGTATGCAGATGACCTTGTACTGATGTGGCCTAATGGTGATTTCAGACCGGATCAACACGTATGGTGAACACATACTACTGTTATATAAAGCCCGTGGAAAGTCTCTGTTCAAAGACACGCTGCAAAGCTGAATATTGGAGAAGATCTGTACACAAGAAGCCGCTAGCTAAACTCTGTTAGCATCAGAGCCGGCCGGCTACTTCCGCCACTTCCGGTGCGCGTCAGGACATCTTGGTGTGAAGACCCCTGTGTCTGAAAACTAGAGAATGCGCTCAGCGTTGCCGAGTAGTATGTGTTCACGGAGGTGCGCCATACGTGTTTTCATATTTTTAAACAATATTTCAGCAGTTGCATAAGGTCACGGGAGCATGACAACGCATATATTCACAAGCACAGAGTCCCCCTTTGTCAACCTTGGTTGGAGTTCTGGTGAAGCCTGGTGTAGCTCCTGTTTTGGCTGTTTACGAGTATTTTCAGTCTGCTCGCTCAGTCCGCTAATGTCCCCGTGACCACTTTGCTGCTCTCTGATTGGTTGTCACACGAACGTCCCAAGGAAAGGATGAGCAGAATCCATCTCCTGTGGGCGGCGATTTTTCACTCCTGCTCCTCCCCTTTGACTTTCCCGCCAAGTCCGTGCGTGTCGAACGAACAGTCCGTCTGTGCGTGCCGAAAGGTCCGTGCGTTGTGACGCTCGAACGCTCGTCACCATAGACTTTGCATTGAAAGCCGACGCAACGCATGATCCGGTCTGAAAGCACCATTACAGTGCAAGCCTACAGCAGCTGTTTTGTATCGGTTCCAAACATGGCATAGACTATGACTCTAAGTACAATGCCTCTAAAAGTCAAATTATGATTGTAAAAACAAAGGATTAAAAAAAAAAAACTATTGTTCCCTGACTTCCTTCTATGTGGTGATACTCTCCAACCCACAGAGGAGATGAAGTATCTTTGACACTACATAACTTCTGACCTCTCTGACGATTGAGACATGTATCGACAACAGTGTACACTTTATGGCCAGGCTAATACGCTTGCTCGGAAGTTTCACATGTGCTCTAGAGATGTTCAAATTATTTTTATGGCTCTCTGTTTGCCCTTGTATACTGCACAGCTCTGGCGTAGATATAAGACCTAAGAGTATGCAGAGTCTAAATGTGGCTCACAAACCAGATCATCTTAGCTCTGGTAGGAGGAGCTCTGTTAGGTTCTCTGCCGTAAGGAGGCATTGGAGGTCCTGCCTGTACACCTGTTTTTAGTTTTATTGTATACGTATGTTGTTGTTTTGTTTTGTTTTTAAATCTATGAACCAGTTTTCTGTGTTCTTAATAAAGAATGAATTGAATTGAATCTGCTGTGTTAAACAGTGATGATTAGCTGTATCTTATTTATTTTTAGATTTATTTCCTATATTTTGACCTCAAAATAGATTTTTTATGTAATCTCATATTGCGCAGTGACACGAGCCTCAGTGGGAGAAGCCTGTACGGTGCTATCGAACTGTTTTCTGTTTATCGCGGTTTACAAAGTTCAAACATATTTCCTTTACAATCAACATGTCTACAGTTGAAAGAATGGTGTTTTCGACAACAAATCGTGCTCAACCACGGCTTGAAATGTCACAAAGTGAAGCGAGCCTCAGGGTAGGGAGCGCTTGTGAGCCCAGATTTCGGCTGGATTCAAGTTAATCAGAAAGCATTCTTTCTTGTTCTTCCTCTGCTAAGAGCTGCTGCAGGTTTGGCAAACATACATATAACATTTTAAAAAGGTTTCAAAAGCCACTTAGGGCAATGTTATGCTTCGAATGATAAGAATGATGTGAGAGGTAAAGGGTATTGGTGCTTTCATACCGGATCATGCGTTGCGTCGACATTCAATGCAATGACAATGGTGACGCGCGTTCGAGCGTCGAAATGCATGTGCGTCTCTGGACCATGGATCTATTATAATAACTGGATAGAGTATTACTAGCTTGGAGCTGAAGAACCCATGTGAGCTGATGCTTGTAGCTGCGCGCATGCTCAGTTGTTTGTTTTCGCGGAGCCTCCGAATCAAGCCTCCATTAGGCTCTGGAACTTCATGAAAACTGAACAAAGAATTCTGAACATCTGCGCTGAGTTACCCATTTATATACTGAACCTATATCCATAATCAGATCCTCTGCAGATGTGTCCTATAATGAGCAATTCATGATAATAGCTTCTTCCGGGTTTGCCACAATCGCTTTTTTTGTGCATAAAAACGTTAGTAAATAATTCTGAAAACCTCCGTGCATGTGTATTAATAATGTATATGTATAATGTGTTCTCTGATTAACATTTAAAAGTGTTACGGAAACGTAGGCGTAGACCAATCAGAAATCAGAATCAGAATCGCTCTCTCTTTCTAACAAACTTCAGACAATCACTTTAAAAACATTAAAAGTTTACCAAAGTTTGACTCCAAAAAAGGCCCCATTTTCAAAATGGAGGCCATCAGGTCCTTAAAATGACCATTTCTCCTAGACCAGGGATACTGATGTCTGACATCTGTTTTGGTCATATCATATTCTAATTAGTATATTTGCATGAAAAATAAGTGATTACAAGTACAATTATATATTAAAGCAATTGGTTATAAGCATATGTATGTGAAAAAGAAGTACAATTTCCCTTAAGTAATCCCATATTTCTTTTTCATCATATCGTTTTTCCTAGTGTTGGTGGTTTCTGTGGTTCATAACCATTATTTTGATTCCAATAAAGAATTTCTGATGCATATGTAGCAGTGTGGAGTCAGTCTGCCCTCCCCTTACCTGTTTCATTGAAACACCACCTCACGCACCTGCCTGCCACTAATTGCAGGGGCAGGACCTGTGGGTTGTTTTTTTTTTAAGCCTGAGCCTGAGGGCGCTCACTTTTTTGCCACTCCTGCGGGAAGCAGCAGTCTCTTTGGGTCCGTGGAGTTGTGCTGGTGGGGAGCCTCACACAGTGGTTGGTGGCCCTGTTGGCACGTATGTGGGCTTGTGCGGCGTGAGCGCTGCCCTGGGAAACGCCTTCTGCTCGTTTTGTGTGGCCAGCTCCTCCAGTGTGGCAAACCTTAGTGAAGGGCCTGTGTGAGCCCGTTGTGCTTCTCAGACGTTACTTGTGGTTGGTGCTAAATTACGCACAGTGGAGGTTGAGAGCGCGCCTCCGTTCGGGGTCTGGGGGACCGGTGCTTTCTCTGATTGCTTCCCTGCACTTCAGCGGGACCGAGCTGCACCTCCCGCGGCAGTTTGGAGACTGCCAATCATCACAAGTACGCAAATTCTCAGCCCCGTTTCCACCGGCGCAGCTCCTCCTGCCTCCACTGCTCTGGATTGACCCCACAGGCCAGCGTCGCTCCAGTTGTGGACACTGATCATCAATATTAGGCCCACAGAGCACCTGGACACCCAAACTGTAAATTTGTACATTTTAACTGCAATTGAGTTTAGGATTGTTTAATCTTTTTTTTCTTTGTCCTTTGCATGTGTGTGTGTGTGTGTGTGCATGTGTTTTTTTTTGTGTTTGGCTTTTGGCAATTACCATTATTAATCAAATGTTCCTAACTTAAAAATTTTTTAATGAAAATAAATGTTGTACTTTTGTAGTCAAGTTTTGGTTTTGTCTCTGCCCCCATCACTTTAAAAAGGGAAGCGAACCTGTGTCTGCCTTGTGCAGGGTCTTAGGCCTATCCTAGGTGGCGTTGTTGACAATAGCAAAATTTTTAACCTGTACTTTTAGCCCTCGTTATGTCACACATAATAGTGGATTAAAAAACAATGAGTTTGAACACGGCCCTGCACCTTTCTCATCTCCCCGTCATTTAGAAACTTCAGGACATGGCCAGAGTTCACAGCTAATTCCGACCGCTCACCCAGTTTTTTTTGTCCCAGAGACAAAATGTGTCCAAAATAACACAGGAAAATCCATGAAGGAGGAAGAAGTCGGCGATCTCAGCACCATACAACTGACACTTGTGGTTTGTTTGTATCCACGGGTGGAAATCTCGCACTTCCGCTTTCCAGTCCTATTTGGAAGCCTCAAAAGGCCTGAGAGTGACACGCAGGCCTATTCACGTTTATTAAAAAGAAAAAAAAAATTGATTCTATACGCGTTTTTTCCCTAATGTCTTGACCAGGGGTCTCCAAATTGTAGCTCGGGAGCCACCAGTAGTTCACCACCCCTTTTAATGTAGCTCCCCAAAGAATTTAGAAAAGAACAAATCAAATATACTGAATATATCAAAGTATTACTCATTAATATTTTGTATTATACTTTGTGCACAAGTCAAGCCAGTATATTTTCCCAGGACCATTTAAATGAGTAGCTCTGTCTTTTTCATCTTGTGGAAAGTAGCTCTCTGGGTGAAAAAGGTTGGAGATACCTGGTCTAACCCCACTGCAGCACTCATCTCTCTTGAACTTTAGAAGTAAATGAATGAAAATATCTCTGCCTCAGCGGTGGCTCTCATCATTAACCGGGTGAAGCGTCTGCGGCATCTTCTTGTGAATGCAATGGAGCGATCTCAGAGAGGATATGAGAAGCTTTTGGGGAAGTATTTGTGACCTCTTGTGGCACTCGCTGCAAATACCTAAAAAATAACAATTGTAAACCGCTTTGTGACTCTGGTCTGTGAAAGGCGGTATATAAATAAAGATTAGTTACTTCCCAAGAGAGCCACAGCCCGTGAGCCCGTTCTCACAGATCACCGCGTTGCCATCCAATCTCTAAACTGCTACATGCGGAATACAGGGCAGTGGCGTTTATGGGGCTTTAAGCTCAAAACTAATGAAAAAAATACATTGCTTTTCCAGAGGTGAATGAGGCAAAACAAATAGCAGATTTACAGTCTCACTAATTTTCGCAACAGATGTGTAAGTCAAGTGTATTTTGGTCCTCACACAAACAAGTCAAATGAGGGTCCTCATCATGCACTGTGATTTATTCGAAATGTGCGTGTTTCCATTAGTAGTGGTATATAAATAAAGATTACTTACTTACATTAGACTTTTTCTGATGCGCAAATTCAAAGGTCAATATGTGACGCTTAATGAAAACGCAGCTTATCATTTTGCCAGAGTGGGAACATTTCTATTGTCCAAATCTTGAATTTCATGCGTGTTTTGATGAAGGTTGAGATGGGTGTAAAATTTAGACCACCTACTGACTTTATGTATATTTAGTGCGTACCATAAGCCCACGTCCAAATTGATAAATGCTGTGTAAGTGTAAATGTTTTTGCGTACGCCTCATTTACACCCTGATTTGACTGTACGCAAGTTTCATAAATGAGGACCTTTGTGTGAATAACAAATGAGAACACAGTGGTTCTCCCGGATGGCCCCACTGTCTCAGCTCCAGTGAGTCATGACATTAAACCCATAAAAACAGATCTTATTTCAAAAATGTTTATTAGTCAAATATTAATATAACTTTTCTGTATTTACATTGTAATAAAATCTAACAGTTCTGGTGGCAGTCGAGGCGCGCTCTCCCGCGGAGTTTCGATACGATATGGCACAAGCACTTCCTCTGACATCATCGTAGTTACGGCCAATCGGAGCAGAGAACGCAAAACTCATGTTTAAGCTCTACACAATATTATTGCCAGTGGTTAGTGTTAGCACCAACTACAGGCAGAAGAGGGTACAACAGCAAATGTGGGTAGGGCTCATCTCTGGTGTTTCCTCTAACGCACATTCACTCAACTGTCGACAACTTCAAACTTCATTACTGTAGAGAAACGACAATATTTAAGTCTAGAACATCAATTTTGTTTCATGTGTATTTGGGTGGAACATGGTGTCACACACACACTTTTCTCTTGTGTTTCGAACCCTGCGTTTACTGTACCAATGCGCATGTGTATTTCAGAGCAGAGTTTCATTAGAGACTCATTATTTTGACTCAAGTTTTAGTAGCTATAGGACACTCATTCTTTGTAAAATTAGACCGTGAATAATTACAGACATGGAAGCTAATGTTTAAGCTGTTAAACAGTCTATAAATCATGTTTAAATGTTGCGGATAAATTACTTTTTTAACTGGTCACAACATGAACACCAGCAAATGTGGACAAAGTCTTTTCTTTTCAAATTTAGGTGGTTCAGCTTATATACAGGTGTGCCTTATGTGCTCTCACCTCAGCAGCAGGAGGTGCGTCTGGGCCCTAAGTGACTAAGGCCGCACGTGTTTCAACAGTATTCTCACATTTATCTGTGTTCACTTAGATAATATTCTCAGTGTTTAACTTTAATCTCAACCACAAATATCACTGTATTAACATTTGCAGAGCCATGAGTCTTAAGGTTCACTCAACAAAGCTTTGCAAATCAAGAGACTGAAAGTTTTTCCCATTCCTCTTTACAAAACAGCTCTATTGTAGCTCTGGCTTTGTGTTTAAAGCTGGGCTACAACACATTAAAGATGGGGTATGTAACTTTCAGACCACAACAAGTGAACTCTGTAAAAAACCCATGTCCTTTGCTTTTATCACAATTTTTTTACGTGTATTTATGCCTCTGTCACATCTTTAGATCAACGTTTTCAGACAGAAAAGTGAAAAAAAGAGGACTACCCGCACTCAGAGCTCTGAGTCACTATTTGCCTCTTTGGGCAAACACAAAAGAAATTTTACTTTAAGACTTTCTGTTGGGCAGAATACATATATTATATAATGATACAGACTCCAGCTTTAATGAACCGCAGCAGAAAAGGCTTTAGACTCCATCCAAAATTTGTGGCAGTGTTGGTCTCTCCTGTGCACAGTATGATGCAGTGTTCTGATTCTGTTAGTGTTTGTCTCCTGACAACTGTACTCAGGCCGCACACTGTATGCAGCTTTATTTATGTGTAACACAATCCCAATGTGTGTAATGTACATGCGTATGTGTGCGTTCTCTGCTCCGTTGTCGTCTGTAAACATTACACTCGTGAACACACAACATCACAACAGCTGTTTCTGTTTGAGGCACAAGGGGGCGCTGTGCTCTGCTGCGTCAGACCTGGGAAAACAACACCAGATGATGATGTGAGCACTTCCCCTTTATGAGATAATCCACCCTAATGAAAGCAATTCACTGCTGACCTGGATCATGCTTGGGTGTCAAATCAATTCTGTAACAGGTCCCGGGTCACCAGCCCCAGTCCCAGTGTTCTGTCGAGGCGGCCTCCATGGAAACGAATTATCTACTGCGCTCCAGTTAAGGAAAACTATTTCTCAAGATATGGACCCCTTGTAAATGTAATTCTTTTATGGATTCACTAACTCATAACGATCAAGGACATTTAAATTAATTGACAATAAATTTTAAATAGGCAACCCTTGTAAATGTAATTTTACACACCACACGCAATATACATAAACATTTGTTTGTTAAAGATATCTTCAACAAGTTGAGATCAATGTTGGGGGGAAAAAGTTCTGTAAGACATATGCAAATTAGTGATAACCATATCAATTTCATTTTAAATCTGTTATATTACAGAGAACATGGAGGACCACTGTATAGTATGTTATTCACTGATTGACATTGACACTATATAATTCAATAATATTTATATAATCTCAGAATAGTACTCACTGGGTAGAAATTATGTGTATCACATGGTTTTGCGTTCTGTACAGGTGCAGTGTTCTACATGCAAAAGGTCTATCCATTCTGAATACACACCATGATGAGACTTCCATGCCAATTTATGATTATGCATGTTCAGTCTTTAAATCAAAAAAACATTTTTATGCATTCAGTCTTGTATTCTGCACATTGATCATTATTCTGTTTGTGTACAACAGTAAGAAAAAAAAATCATGGATGTATGTATGTACGCATATTTAGTCAGCCACCAATTGTGCAAGTTCTCCCACTTAAAAATAATGAGAGGTCTGTAATTTTCATCATAGGTACACTTCAACTGTGAGAGACAGAATGTGAAAAGAAATCCAGGAATTCACATTGTAGGATTTTTAAATAATTTATGTGTAAATTATGGTGGAAAATAAGTATTTGGTCAATAACAAAAATTCGGCTCACTACTTTGACCTCTGTTATTGCCAACAAAGGTTATATTACAAACTATTACTATAGGTCTTTACCAGGTTTCCACACACAGTAGCTGGTATTTTGGCCCATTCCTCCATGCAGATCTTCTCGAGAGCAGTGATGTTTTGAGGCTGTCGCCGAGCAACACAGACTTTCAACTCCCTCCACAGATTTTCAATGGGGTTGAGATCTTGAGACTGGCTAGGCCACTCCAGGACTTTCAAATGCTTCTTACGGAGCCAGTCCTTCGTTGCCCGGGCGGTGTGTTTGGGATCATTGTCATGCTGAAAGACCCAGCCACGTTTCTTCAAAGCTCTCACTGATGGAAGGTGGTTTTGGCTCAAAATCTCACGATACACGGCCCCATTCATTCTTTCCTTAACACGGATCAGAAAAACAGCCCCAAAGCATGACGTTTCCACCCCCATGCTTCACAGTAGGTATGGTGTTCTTGGGATGCAACTCAGTATTCTTCTTCCTCCAAACACGAGTTTATACCAAACAGTTCTACTTTGGTTTCATCTGACCACATGACATTCTCCCAATCCTCTGCTGTATCATCCATGTGCTCTCTGGCAAACTGCAGACGGGCCTGGACATGCACTGGCTTCAGCAGGGGGACACGTCTGGCACTGCAGGATTTGATTCCCTGTCGTTGTAGTGTGTTACTGATGGTAACCTTTGTTACTTTGGTCCCAGCTCTCTGCCGGTCATTCACCAGGTCCCCCCCGTTTGGTTCTGGGATTTTTGATCACCGTTCTCATGATCATTTTGACCCCACGGGATGAGATCTTGCGTGGAGCCCCAGATCGAGTTGTCTTGTATGTCTTCTTTTTTCTGATAATCGCTCCCACAGTTGATTTGTTCACACCAAGCTGCTTGCCTATTGTAGATTCACTCTTCCCAGTCTGGTGCAGGTCTACAATTATTTTCCCGGTGTCCTTCGACAGCTCTTTGGTCTTGGCCATAGTGGAGTTTGGAGTCTGACTGTTTGAGGCTGTGGACAGGTGTCTTTTATACAGATAACGAGTTCAAACAGGTGCCATTAATACAGGTAACGAGTTGAGGACAGAAGAGCTTCTTAACACTAGGACCGCCGTGCTCTAAACATACCTTGCACCGCCCCCTGCGGTCAGTTGACCGCTATGTATTTTGCGCTGATACAGCCTTTTGCCAAATTGATTGTTCACTAAATCAGAACTTGTTGTTGCAAGGAAATCGTGATCATAATGAAACTGTGTAAATTATTTGTCTAAATATGCTAAGTAATTGTAATTCCATCCGAAAAATAAAAAAAAATTACAAAGACTTTTCTGGCTAGATTTATTTTGTAACTTTGCAAACACGTAAAAGGTCGGTCACTATAGGGCTGGGCGATATGGCTGAAAACTATATCACGATATAAGTCATTCATATCGGTCGATAACGATATATATTGAGTTTTTTTTTTTTTTAACCTAAATAAATATATTTGTCGTGTGGGCTAACCAACCTTAGCAGCCTTGTTTACAGTCACGGGGCGATGAGGCTGGAGGAATATGTTCACACTGTGTCCCTCGTTGTTAGTCCTGGTTTAATCCTGGTTTTTTATTCCTGGTTTAGCTCCTGGTTTAGCTGTTTGAGGGTCTTGTGTCCCCGTGACCGCTCTGTGCGGCTCTCTGTGCCGCACATGCTTCCCGAGGAAAAAGTTAATCTCTTGCTTTCACCGAATACATCGTGTCTGTCCACTGCCTCTGCCGCCGCACATGTTATTCCGCACACGTACGTGCAAAACCATTGACACGGCATTGAAACACGAGCTATAGATCCATGGACGCTACGCATGCTGCGGTTGTTGTTGTTTTTGCATTTCCCACAAAGTTTTGCGGTTCCTGCTCGGCTGCTATTGGTCGAGAAGCCTCTGCCTACATCCCCCACAATGCCATGCGCTTATGAGTCGGCTTTACTTCCGGTGTTTTCTTCCTGTTTTTCCTGACGAGTTAAGTTAAACTATCGAACATTCTATCGACCCCATTCTCTATTAATATCGAACACATGTCTATTGCGATATATATCGTTATCGTTTTATCGCCCAGCCCTAGGTCGCTATATGTTAAATTTGACTCAGTAACAATATGTAAATTCAAACAATATAAATGATAGTTTAGAAAAGCACGGGACAATAACGTCTTCGCGCTGCTATATGCGTCTACTTCTTACGTCATCTCCAGACTGTTTTCTCTTTCCAGCCGAAATCACCGTGGGAAATATTATCTCGATAATAATAATAGTATTCGTATTGACACAAGATCATCAGCTAGGCTACCATCGTCAATGTACAATCTTCAATTTTACACGGGACACGTTAGAACGACAAATATATATATATTTGTATTTATTTGAGACAAGCAGTGCTCTTTATGATCAGAAGAAAATTATAATTATTGCCTTGCAGTGCGCGCTGTGCAGAATAACACACAGTGTTATCTGAATGAAATAAGAAAGATATCCTTATTGATATGATGAGGGCCGCTTCTGCCCCACAGTCGCTCTCCTCCTGCAGTGTCCGCGGGTGACGAGAGGCCTCACAGCGCTCTATCTGCACTCTGCCTTGATAGTTCATCTAATTGTTCTATTTTATTGCGATATTGTATTCTGCTTTATTGCCTTCTTCTATGTATAAATATAAGAATGTAATTGATGATGAATGAAAAGGCAGAATGGAGCGACAGCGCGCACACAGACACCTGCGTAAGGCTGGAATTACGCGGGTCATGTGCGTTATTGCTTCTGGACTTGTTCCAACACTGCTGTCCGTGCCGTGAATGCACTACGGGTTTACGTTCAGATTTAGAATATTATAGGTGTTCTCCCCGCTGTGACATCTCACCTCCGTCAGACTGTTCTCATTCAATGTCTTGAAGCACTGTCAGGGCTTCATACCGTGTACTTGCAGCTCTATTCATGTTGTACTCCTCTCAATTCAAAACTCTTTCTCTCTCCCAAATAATAAAAAAAACCTCAAGTCCCTTTAGAGTCTAATGACAACATATTGATACATTTTTATAAGGCGCGAAAAACCCCCGGGAAAGGTTACTATGACAACAGTCGCCCCTGTGCCATGTATCCCTATGGGGCAGCAGAAAGGGCTGTGGTTTAGAAAAGTTAAAATGCGTGTAAATCTTGTTTTCTTTACTTTTTCCAAAAACAAAACACACCAAAATATAAACAAGTACCCAGTAAAAGTCATAAAATTTCAACTTCTGGCGTTTTGTTTTGAATACACTAATTAGCATATTAAAGTGAGTGACGGTCAGTTGACCGCTAGGGGCACTCCTAGTGTTAAAGAAGAAGTTACAGGTCTGTGAGAGCCAGAGATCTTCCTTGTTTGAAGTGAACAAATACTTATTGTCCACCATAATTTACAAATAAAATCTTTAAAAATCCTACAATGTGAATTCCTGGATTTTTTTTAACATTCTGTCTCTCACAGTTGAAGTGTACCTAAGATGAAAATTACAGACCTCTGTCATTATTTTAAGTGGGAGAACTTGCACAATCAGTGGCTGACTAAATACTTTTTTGCCCCACTGTATGTATGTACGCTGTATGTATGCTACTCACTGTACGTTTAAGAGTTCAAAATATTGGTTCATAAAGTGGTGATGGCGCATTCTGTTTCAGTGGGTGGGGATACAAATTTTGACAAGGGGTGCATGCCATATATTCGGTTGATATAACAAAATAACTTAAATATGCTACGTTTTATTATGCACGGCTCGATAGGCGGAGCTGTCAAATTTCGCAAAGGGTGCCAATCCCGACAAGAGTGCACGGCTCGACAGAACATAGGGAGAAGTGCTCTCTCACACACTCCTCACCGGGTGGAACAGCAGCATGCAGTCTTCTCGAGGCGGAGGTTTGAGTCCTGTCGAGTTTCTTATAAACGAGTTCACGACTTTCTGGTCCAGCCGCATCTGTCGAGGGACGCTCTCAAAGGGCTTTGGGTCCAAGTCCAGGACCGAGACTGACAGAGTCCTGGGGAGAGACCGGGGTTAGACCTGGTTCAGTCCACAAGCCCCAACACTAAAATAGCTTTCTTTATGCTTTCACTTGTTGTGTCCAGTTAAAACAGCTTTTCTATCTGCTTTACTCAGTCGTGTCCAGTTAAAACAGATCTGGTTTCTTCTATTAGGGGGATTAATGTTTGCATTTGTTAGTATTGGACAGTGGTGCAGCAGTGACCTCTGGTGGCCGTCGTCCTCCTCTGCTGTGGGCATCAGTGTGATCATGATGGAGCAGTCCTTCGCTGTCATCGCTGCCCTGTACTGATGAACCTATGAGGAGATATGTAGAAATCCCATCAAAACAAATTTTGTGTGGTGAGATCGGACTGTCAAACTGAACAAGACATTTGGACTCATGTTTATGGTTCCAAGTCTGTGTGCTTATCACAGATAACAGAAGAGTGTGAGAGGGGCATGTACAAACCCTGGCCACAGCGTACTCCACGGAACCGTCGTCTTCAGCTGGACACTTGTGCAGCGACTGGAGGAACATCTCATCGTACGGACCGTCCACCTGCAACCGGCTCCTGGAGAAGGGGAAGATAGGGGAACGTTAGATAGGCAAGACCAGACTTTTGCACATTTGTGAATGAGCGTACCGTTCTTTGGGGAAGTGATGCAGATGTTGCTCCACTCGTCTATACAGAGGAAACAAGCCCTCAATATCCAACGAATCCAACATCTGAGTGTGCAAAACCCGGGAGAGGACGCAGTGCGAAGGCAGCTCCTGAGAGTCTGGAGAAAGAGGAATAAGAGACCAGAGAGAGGTCAGCTCCTGACACAAGTCTCACTGTGAAGCACTTTATGTTACCTGTGAAGGAAAAGCGCTCTACAAATAAAGATTGAATGAAGGACCACATCACGTGTGGTTTGGAGCAGGAGACAAGCAGCCCACATGAAGCTCCTCCACAACTATAAAAAAATCCATGTCACTAGTTCCTAAATCTTCATCATAGTGTAATGAGTTGGAAAACGGAGCGTTTATCAGAAGGAGCATCAATTGATCAATCATTATTTACCAAAACAAAAGGGCCCAATACTAAAGTGATTCAATCAGAAAGAATGATGGGTAACTGGGGTATGTATTTAATAACATAATAACAATAACAGCGTTAGTAACGCAGTTACTTTTTTCAGTAACGAGTAATCTAACTAATTACTTTGACTGCAACTATAACGCTGTTATCATTGCCGCCACTACGTTACTGCACGTTACTCAAGTCGCACGATAAACTTCTTTTTTAACTTCATGATAGGACTCGTGCGCATGTTGACATGAGAGAAGGGAGGATGAGATAACCTCTCAGCAATTATTGGCTGATGTAAAACATTTCCTTTTCAATCTACATGTCTACAGTTGAGGGGATGGGTCTTAAATTGTGTTTTTGACAACAAATATGGCTCAACCACGGCTTGTAACGTAAGCGCAGAATTCGGCTGCATCTGATTCCATAAGAAAGCTCCTTTCTTGTTCTTCATCTGCTAAGGGTAGCAACAGGTTTGGCTAACATAAATATAATACATTTTAATATAATTCAAAATGCACTTAGGGTAATGTTCCAATGACGATAGGAATGATAACAAAGAGAGGTGAAGGGTAAGAAGGTTGATTTTAGAAATTGGATGCAGCTAGCGAAACTCGAGTTTATAGAGGAAACACCTGTTTTGTTTTACTTTTTAAAATATCTACGCTCAAACTATTATCTGGACTTGACATGAAACTGGTCTGAACTGGTGGTCTGTGCTGTTCATTAATAAGGTAAGACCCATAACACACTTTTAAATGTGCTTTTTCATACTTTTGCGTTTTGTATGAGCAAACAATGCAGGAATAAAACATTCTGCTGTAGCAAAACTAAGTGAATAAGCCGCTCCTGTTGGTCCTGTTTATTTATATGATATATATGTGCATCTGATTGGGGTGAAGTCAGTGTCTCACCAATCACCAACTTCACCGCACGTCACTCGTGTTTAGTGCTTACAGCACAGAGAGATGAAGAGTGAGGAGGACTCGAGCAGCAAAACAGCCTTTTCCAGATGGAAATATCGGCAATATTTCAAACTCACTGAAGTTAAAGGTAAAAATGAGCATGTCGAGTGCACATTATGTTCCAGAACAAAACGAAAAAGTAACGCAATAGTTACTTTTACTGGTAACTAGTTACTTTTATAATTGGAGTAACTCAGTAACTCCAATACTTTTTGGGAGAAGTAACTAGTAACCGGGGTGACAGTGGCTCAGTTGGGTTCGAGCCCATGATGGGACCTCCTCCAACTGCTCCCACTGGTCTCTGCTGTCGTTGTGTCCTTGGGCAAGACACTTAACCCCACATTGCCTGAAGCTCCCACTGAAACACCAAGGCTGTGGCACCGCTGAAGTAGCAGCCATCTTCCTGTGGACTCACCACAGGAATCAGCGAGGGACCGGTACTTTGAGCATTGGGTGACAGCTTTGATTGCCTCGTTATCTGTATAAAAGACACCTGTCTACAGCCTCAAACAGTCAGACTCCAAACTCCACTATGGCCAAGACCAAAGAGCTGTCGAAGGACACCAGAAACAGAATTGTAGACCTGCACCAGACTGGGAAGAGTTAATCTACAATAGGCAAGCAGCTTGGTGTCAACAAATCAACTGTGGGAGCAATTATCAGAAAATGGAAGACATACAAGACCACTGATAATCTCCCTCGATCTGGGGCTCCACGCAAGATCTCATCCCGTGGGGTTCTGGGACCCCGTGTGGTCCCAGAACCACACGGGGGGACCTGGTGAATGACCTGCAGAGAGCTGGGACCAAAGTAACAAAGGTTACCATCAGTAACACACTACGACGACAGGGAATCAAATCCTGCAGTGCCAGACGTGTCCCCCTGCTGAAGCCAGTGCATGTCCAGGCCCGTCTGAAGTTTGCCAGAGAGCACATGGATGATACAGCAGAGGATTGGGAGAATGTCATGTGGTCAGATGAAACCAAAGAAGAACTGTTTGGTATAAACTCAACTCGTGTTTGGAGGAAGAAGAATACCGAGTTGCATCCCAAGAACACCATACCTACTGTGAAGCATGGGGGTGGAAACGTCATGCTTTGGGGCTGTTTTTCTGCTAAGGGGACAGGACGACTGATCCGTGTTAAGGAAAGAATGAATGGGGCCATGTATCAATGATTTATAGCCAAAACCTCCTTCCATCAGTGAGAGCTTTGAAGATGAAACGTGGCTGGGTCTTTCAGCATGACAATGATCCCAAACACATCGCCCGGGCAACGAAGGACTGGCTCCGCAAGAAGCATTTGAAAGTCCTGGAGTGGCCTAGCCAGTCTCCAGACCTCAACCCCATTGAAAATCTGTGGAGGGAGTTGAAAGTCTGTGTTGCTCGGCGACAGCCCCAAAACATCACTGCTCTCGAGAAGATCTGCATGAAGGAACGGGCCAAAATACCAGCTACTGTGTGTGCAAACCTGGTAAAGACCTATAGTAATCGTTTGACCTCTGTTATTGCCAACAAAGGTTATATTACAAAGTATTGAGTCGAATTTTTGTTATTGACCAAATACTTATTTTCCACCATAATTTACAAATTCTTTAAAAATCCTATATGAATTCCTGGATTTTTTTTCACATTCTGTCTCTCACAGTTGAAGTGTACCTATGATGAAAATTACAGACCTCTCATTATTTTAAGTGGGAGAACTTGCACAATCGGTGGCTGACTAAATACTTTTTTGCCCCACTGTCCATTTATAGGTCAAATTCTAAGCCTATTACAACAATTCAAAAACATGGTGGAGGTAAACATTCTTAAAATAGTCACATTTGTTATTGATTAGAAACAAAAAATTACACATAGTACCTTTAAAGCAGGGGTATGTAACCACAAAATATGAAAAGGATTGAGCACTATGGATATGGGTTATATTAACCCGTATCCCTAGCACTTCTATCACTAGGTTTCACATCATGTTTGGCCTCCGTCACATTTAGATCAGCCATTTCAGACAGAAAAGTGATAGAGAGCCACTCTCATCAGTTGTCATGTCTTCTCAAAGCATTCTGTCAGGTGGTAGGTCTTTCTGTCTGATGAAACACTCACTGTGTCTGAGACGTTCTCTACTGAAGCTGCTGCCCTCACAGAAGCCCCGCCCCTCTGTACACCTGTGGGAGGAGTCACCCATGCTGGCCCCACCCCCACTCAGCAGCGCCTTCACCAACACCTGCAAAAACACAAAATGTCCAGATCAAACACACATCCAGCTCTGGCTATTGTCCATGTTCTAGCTGTAGAGTCGTCTCTGTGGTTGTCCCTCAGTGTTATGGTCGCCATGGACACGTACAGGTGTGGGTGGGACTTGTGCAGACACACCTGAGGCTAGTTCAGACTTGTGTTGTTGTAGTTTACAACAGAATAAAGCCCTTTTAACGACACACACATGCTGGTTTGTCTAACGCGCCGACTCAGTTTTGACTTGTAAGAACCAAACTGGAATGTGGAAAAAATACCAACGAGCAGTACAAATGTACAAATGCTTCCTTATAAACACGGGCGGCACGGTGGCTGAGTGGATAGCACTCTCGCCTCTCAGCAAGAAGGTCCTGGGTTTGAATCCCGGTTGGACCAGGGCCTTTCTGAGTGGAGTTTGCATGTTCTCCCCGTGTCTGCGTAGGTTTCCTCCGGGTGCTCCGGTTTCCCCCTACCACTAAAAATATGTACAATAGGTCTGGCATGTGCCTCCTATACTGGCACCCCCACTCCCAAAAATAACAATTGTAAACCGCTTTGAGACTCCGATGTGCAGTGAAAAGGCGGTATATAAATAAAGATTACTACTACTAAACACAAGGACACATTCAACAGCTTTACTTCTGCCATTTCATGTATTGCCATGTGAACTCATTTATGAATTGGTTAAACACAGTCGGTATATTAGGAATGGACTGACAGAGTGTGACATCAATATAGTGTCAGTGTAAGGCCTTTCCTTCGCGGCGTTAGCCTCGCGCAGCAAACATAGACTGTAAATATTATTGAGTCACGCCTTTTTTCCGCCCTTGAAACTAATGTGCCACCGCTTTTGCCTTCTGAGGGCAGTTTCACTGCCGCAGGGCAGGAAAAATTTGAAAAAACTAATTTGCATGTGTTAACCACAGCGGCTAAACTAAACTGGTCAAAAAAAAAAAAATGCATTGACAAGCATCTGGGATGTAGCGTTGGGCCAAAAATAGACTATTGGACCATCCAGTAAAGCTGTTGAGACGCCATAGAAAAGCATTGGGTGATTTTCTTTCTGGGTCCACCCCCACCAGCCATGAGTGAGATTGCAAGCATTTTAGCAAGTGAACATGGACTTTTTTGAGCCGGGACCCGCCCCCACGGTCCGTAACAGGGGTTGTAATATTAGTTGCAAAGGCAAGCTGGAGTTTCCCCCTTGAATGAAGGCATCTGAATGTAAATCCATATATGAGCTAAAATATAGAGCTGTCAAAAGGTTATATTTTTTATCAAGTTAATTACAGCTTAAAAAATAGTTGATCGTAATTAATCGCATTTCAAACTATCTGCAAAATTATGCCATATTTTTCTGTGAATGGTTGTTTGAATGGAAAGATAATTGACAACATAGTGTACATATGTACTGTATTTGTTTATTTGTTCATTGAAACAATAAATCCACATAAACCGCATTAACATTATAACATTCTGTCTTTCTGTAGTAGACAGTATTATTTCGAAGTTGTATTAAAGTTGTTTAAAAACCGGTAATTTAATTGAAAAATTGAGATAATTGATTTAGCTTGAGTATGAATACAGGCCATAAAAAGTGCTGAGTAGAAACTTTGCGTGACGCTAGTTCCACGCCTCCTCTAGCGTCTGCATCGCATGTAAAGAAGAACAGCATGGAGGCAGAAAATGGCTCTACCTCGTCTGTCTAACTGCATACACAGCAAAACAGCCCAAAAGACGTAAAAGTGAGAAGAGGGAACTAAAGCAAAAAATGATCAAAGAAGAAATCAAGCCCGGGTGAACAAAGCAAACTTACATCGTATCCTCAGGAGAGACCTGCAGGTGCGGGACTGCCTCAGACTGACTTTGGACGCGAAACTAGTGGTAATTTTCAGTTATTGTACTGTATATTTTGTTAGCAGTGCGTTTCTGTTGTACCATTTCATCATTGATTGCTGTACAGCTTCTAAGAAGTTGTGCTAATGCTAACTAATGCCTACCTGCCCTGTCGCCATACACACGCATGTGTCCGCGTCACTTCTGAGTGTTATTATGGGCTGCATGTGCAGGTCATTTGGACATGCGTCAATTGCGTTTTTTTTTCTTCTTCTCGCGATTAATGAAAAAAATTAACGTGCATTAACACAATAATTTTGACAGCCCTACTAAAAGAAACAGCAGAATCACAGAGAGCTCTAAACCCTAAATTTAAGCCCAGAATGGTGAGTGTGACAAAAACGGTTGCTGAGCTAAAATATTACTGTTACATGTTAGTCAATTGTGTGTGTGTCCGTGTATGCGAGTGTGTACCTGTATGAAGTCGTGCAGCAGGCTCTTGTGGACGCTGATTCGCTGATTTGATGAAGTGAAGTAAATTCGTAGCTGGTTCAACAGTGACGTCACATAGTCGGCTGAGTCCTCAAAGTCCTCACGATCTCTGTCTCTACTGCTGTAGATCAACTGCCCGCCCTGAACAATACACACATAAAAGGACTTTCAAGCCACTTTAACTTAGCCTGGTCGTACCTCACCATAGTACAAATTACATTTCGTACTAAGGTCTAGAGCTGCTCCATTGAGCTCCGTTTACAGGTGGGAGGGATTAACTCCTTTTGCAGATTGAAACGATTGGATCTGAGTTTACCGTGACGTATGTAGCGCGACCGAGTCTGTTAGCATTCAGCATTTAGCCTAGCCATCTCCTTTGCCGCCAACGGAGCCCGTGGGGAGTAGCGCCACAATTTTTTCCAGCGATTACATTTTCTAAACATTACTGGCTTCAATTTCCTGATAGAACCAGACCAGATTACTTTACTATCGTATTTTTCGCCATTGCCAAACTACAACCTGCCCGTTCAACGCAAACTCTTGACATCACCCACAACCATGGATCTATTATAATAACTGGATAGGGTATTACTAGCTTGTAGCTGAGTAACTCATGTGCTTGGGGGATTCTCGCGGTACTGCAGACTAAACCAGACTATTTTCACGTGGGCTACCCAGAAATTTTCCCCATAGAACTCAATGCATATTAAAACAGCTCAACCTCAGCTGACAGAAAACCTACAGCTTTCATAAAGGTCGGATTTTGTGGGGATTTTAGTTTCCTTGTCATCCTGAACTTTTTTTCTTCTTAAATCCTTCGGTTTTGTTTAAATCCACATTTTAGTGTCACAAACTCTGCTCGTCTGGCTCTCGCTCCAACTCCCGCTCTGATGAACTGCTCTGATTGGTCAGAGCGCGGCCGAGCCCCTCTGTGCAGGTGCATGAGACCCGGTGTGAGACCCACACACGCGTGTTTGGTGCAACGCATTATGGGAGATCATCCACTGCGCAGAACCGGGAGGACCAGACAATGCCCAAATACAGGCGAGTTTCCCATAGATCTTTGCAAGTTTCCCATAGATCTTTGCGAGTTCCAGACGACTTCCGCTAATTTTCCAGCCCCCATGCCGTCACAAAGCGCCACTGAGCACAACCCTTCATTTGAATAGGGCACCATCTTGGATCGCCGGGGCTTGCCCACAACTAACTGCAGCACCCACCTCCCACTCTCGCTGATTTGTCGGTCGAAATTCAAGCAATTGTAATCGCTAACATGGGGACCAGACCCAGACATTACATGCAGGAAATGATGATTGAGCGGAGTGTACGGATGGCTAAGGCCAGGCTAACTTCAACTGTGTTCTGTTAGTTTTCCTTGACCCTGTGACCCGGCCTCAGCCCTGGGTCTACTGTATGTCCATCGTGGGAGCGGATCCCCCTCTCAATATGGGCCTTCCGAGGTTCCTTCGATAAAGGAGGGTCTAAGGACAGTGATCATCCAGGACATTTATTAACATTTCTGGACAGTGGTCATCCCGCTCCCTACAAACCAATGGCTCAGCTCCAATGTGTTTTATATTGCATATCCTGTGGTCAAACTGTCCCTGGTCTGTTGCTGGTGAATCCAAAACGTTTTAAAGATCTCAGAGAGGACTACTGTTGTGTTTTAGAGAAATACACAAATACATTGAATTTAATTATTTGAGGGGTGCCCCAAGTGTCGATATTGGCCCATTAGGCTGAGGGCAGGACATTTTGGCTCTGGTGAACATGTATCTTGTCAAAACAGGTTCAGTTCTCACCTTGAATATTTTGAAGTTGTTCTGTGGTTCTTCTATCAGGTGTCGGATTGCGAAGGCCATTCTCTGCCTGTTTCTGCAACAAGACGAACAAAAGCAGTGGTTAGTGCTGGTGCCTCAGAGCGAGAAGGTGCTGGGTTCAATTTCTCCTCCTGACAAGGTCTTTCAGTGAGGAGTTTGCATGTTCCCTTCACCTAGGTGCCCTCCCCTACCAACAATAACATGTATAATAGGTCTGACTGATATGAGGCTTCAATGTGTTTGGCGTCTCACTTCTATGGTCAGTGTGTGAGAGAATGGAGAAGAAAACTTGTATTCCAATTGTAAAGTGCCCAGTGTGACCTTGGTGAAATGAGCTATACAGTGGGGCTAAAAAGTTTTAGTCAGCCACCATTGTGCAAGTTCTCCCACTTAAAAATATGAGGTAGGCCTGTAATTTTCATCATAGGTATACCTCAGCTATGAAAGAAAGAATGAGAAAAAAACCCCAGAAAATCATATAATTGATTATATTTCAACTCCCTCCAAAGATTTTCTATGGGGTTGAGATCTAGAGACTGGCTAGGCCACTCCAGGACCTTGAAATGCTTCTTACAAAGCCACTCCTTCGTGGCCCGGGCGGTGTGTTTGGGATAGGTGGAAAATAAGTATTTGGTCAATAACAAAAATTCAACTCAATACTTTGTAATATAACCTTTGTTGGCAATAACAGAAGTCAAACGATTACTATAGGTCTTTACCAGGTTTGCACACACAGTAGCTGGTATTTTGGCCCATTCCTCCATGCAGATCTTCTCGAGAGCAGTGATGTTTTGGGGCTGTCGCCGAGCAACACGGACTTTCAACTCCCTCCACAGATTTCCAATGGGGTTGAGGTCTTGAGACTGACTAGGCCACTCCAGGACTTTCAAATGCTTCTTACAAAGGCACTCCTTCGTTGCCCGGGCGGTGTGTTTGGGATTATTGTCATGCAGAAAGACCTGCCACGTTTCATCTTCCATGACATTGCTGATGGAAAGAGGCTTTCATTCAAAATCTCACGATACATGGCCCCTTTCATTCTTTCCTTTACGCGGATCAGTCGTCCTGGTCCTTTTGCAGAAAAACAGCCTCAAAGCATGATGTTTCCACCCCCATAATTCACAGTAGGTATGGTGTTCTTTGGATGGAACTCTGAATTCTTTCTCCTCCAAGCACAACAAGTTGCGTTTTTACCAATAAGTTTGATTTTTTTTTTTTTTTCGCAACAAATGCGTGACATGATCCAGCATTAGCCAGCGTGCTGTCTAATTACCATCAATTTGAAAACATTTCCTTTTGTAAGGCGATCTGGAGTGCCTGAAAGGCACAATTAAAATAATTGTATTATTATTTAGTAACAGCTAGGCCTGGATAGAACCACAGCCAAGAGAGACTAATGGACCTGGTACCGCTTAAACAATGCCACTGGAAACACTCCCTATCACGGTAACGTATAGTAGAAAGTTGGTGGAAACAGGGCTGTAGTTCATGATTCATCATAGTGCAATAATTTTGAAAACAGATGCTTTAACATTTTTCCAAAAGTAACTTGAGGATTGCACAGGGACACAAGTGTGGTCCTGTTCTGTGTGACTACTGGGATATCATTTAAGACTCGCTGTTTGACTAAGTGAATAAAGCACTACGTATTGAGCGGCCGCATGATCGCCAGTCTGGCAGCAACTGTCAGACGTGAGAGAAAGTTTTCATGACAAACGTTTTGTTCGTCATGAAAACTTTCTCTTGGACAGAAAACACTGATTACATTATGTACAGTGCCTTGCGTAAGTATTCAGCCTCCTTGAACCTTTCAAGAAAGAGTGGCTTTCTTCTTGCCACTCTTCCATAAAGGCCAGATTTGTGCAGTGCACGACTGATTGTTGTCCTAAGGACAGACTCTCACCTCAGCTGTAGTTATCTGCAGTTCATCCAGAGTGATCATGGGCCTCTTGTCTTGTTTGAGATGAAAGTTTGGAGGGACGGCCGGGTCTTGGTAGATTTGCAGTGGTCTGATACTCCTTCCATTTCAATATAATTGCTTGCAGTGCTCCTTGAGATGTTTAAAGCTTGGGAAATCTTTTTGTATCCAAATCCGGCTTTAAGCTTCTCCACAACAGTATCTTGGACCTGCCTGGTGTGTTCCTTTGTCTTCATGGTTCTCTCTGCGCTTTAAACAGAACCCTGAGACTATCAAAGAGCAGGTGCATTTATACGGAGACTTGATTACACACAGGAGCATTCTATTTATCATCATCAGTCATTTAGGACAACATTGGATCATTCAAAGATCCTCACTGAACTTCTGGAGTGAGTTTGCTGCACTGAAAGTAAAGGGGCCGAATAATATTGCACGCCCCACTTTCAGTTTTTTATTTGTTAAAAAAGTTTAAATTATCCAATAAATTTCGTTCCACTTCACGATTGTGTTCCACTTGTTGATTCATGACAAAAAATTTAATTTTTATATCTTTATGTTTGAAGCCTGAAATGTGGCGAAATGTTGAAAGGTTCAAGGGGGCCGAATACTTTCGCAAGGCACTGTAACCATGACCCAGAGTTGTACACATTCTGATCACTCAACAGCAGAAAGCAGCATCCCAGGGATCTCCTGTTGTCTGCAATATGGACTAAGCTCTTTCATCAAGAGCTTCCATTTTCCATTCACGCTGTATTTGGAGAGCGGTTCCCGCACTTTCGCGACCTCTGGGATTTTTTTTCTGTGCAATTGTGCCATTTATACAGCGTGTTTCTCAACCTCCACATGTACACTCCAACAACATAATATAACCACTTGTATAACATTATGGAGAGACCAGAGAGAGTTTGAGACTCTTGTCTCAGACCTAAAGCACCACACATGAGTTTGAGACCCCCGACTTGAAGCTGTCACAGCCAAATTGTGTGTGAGGAGGATGACCTTGGTGACTGACCCTGAAAACAGGTCCAGTGGACAGTAGAGGCTGCGCTTCTTCCACATCCCATTGGAGACCTGGACGGACACAGACACACATTATGAAATACCAAGGGATTGCCCATCCTCTTCTTCTGCCAGTGGTAACAACAACCCCCAATGCAAGAACATCCTTGTGGGTGATCTGAGTGTGAATGACAAGGGAAAGCTACCAGAACAGGGCATTTTGGTTCAGATGAGCATGCACAGTGGATACAGTACAGAGCGTTCTGTTGGGCAGACCTTGTAGTGCTGGTGCATGCAGAAGCGACAGACTCTCGACTTCACTTCTTTTGTGACGTGTTTTGACGATGGAAGAAATCCACACTTTGGCTGAAAGATAGAAAAACATAACATCAATTCCTCCAAAGACCAGATTTGATCTAGTTCCGGTATTTTTTTCTGAATGAGGACGAGGAGTGTGTGTACCTTGATTTCGATACAGAGGGGCGGGGCTAGAGTGGGGGTGTGGTAAAGGGGCGTGGTCAGGTTGGGTAAGCAGAGGGCACAGCCACTGTAGATATCCATTACTTTGTTACATCTCCAGGCTGCAGAGACACACATACATACACACACTGAAGCAGCTGGTATGTAAACACAAGCGGAGAAAGGAAGTGGCCAGTACCTGGCCTCTGGTGCTGCACTTTGATAGACAGCTGCCTGACGAACTCCAGTGGCAACTTCACCACCTCCTGCAATAACGCAAGACATTTTAACACACATAAACATAAAGCTGAGGTATGGAACTTTCAGACCACACTCTAATAAACTAATAAACCAATGTCTCTAGTTCTTTCTTTAAAACAGTGTGCTTCTATCTCTAGTTTTGACATCATGCATGTTTGGCCTCTGTCACATCTTTAGATCAGCTTTTTCAGACAGAAAGAGGACCACCCTCACTCAGCAAATCAGCTCTAAGCCCAGAGAGTCAAATAGTGATTTATGGGGCTCTTTCAAACACAAAAAATAAAATGATTTCTGAATAGATGAAGACAGTCTTGTGTCTGATGAGTTCACATTTTACTCTTTCTGTTGGAAAAATTATGTGTTATGAATCTTATGTTATGTACCCCAGCTTAAAGCACATCAAAGATAATGTGCTATGTAAATAAATGTCTAAATGAATTATGAGGAAGAGGGGGAAAAAAATGATCCAGTGACTCACGCTCAGCTGATTTGCTTCTGGGTTTGAACACTGTGTGAGAGACAGACACAGAGGCTCCAGGAGCAGTAAGCCGAGAGAGTGTCACATGAGAATGACCACCAGAGGCAGTTTAAAGGTCCCATATTGCACTCTTAATTTTTCACAGCCCATTCTATGCACATGTGTGTGATAAAAATTTGGGTGATACACCATTTCTTGCATAGGTGATGTCACCTCAACTGCCTCATGTCACCTCAACCACCTCACGCTAACTTTGTAAACACTGAACAGCTAACTGTTCAGCTTTCACTGGTTCAGACCTGAGAAGAAACTCGGACCGTAATTATTTAGTTAACAGAAGTTTACAGCAAGTTAATGGCATTGTACTTACAGATAAACATTGTACTTTCCAGGTTAGCTTTTGAGCAAGTCCAGTTACATGGTTAAGTGAGATGTCACATGCAGAAAAACAGATTTGCTGCAGATTTCAAAGCCAGAAACCTCCGGAAAAAAGTCTAGCCACATTTAGCTCATTCCTCGTCTTTGGACCAAATAGTCACATATTTACACACAAAAACCTATTTCCTCCAAGTTGACATGATCTTAACACTTTTAGTCGCTGACAATAGCAGAACAGCATTATAGATCCATGTGGTAGACTGGGACAAAACGCTGGACTCGGGGAGGCTGTGCGCGCTGTTCCCTTTTAGATTGTGGCCATACTTGCACGCAAAAGCCAGATACCGTCAGACCTCTGAATCTGTGCAGGACAGGGCCTGGTTAGTACTGTGAGGGGAGACCTCTGGGAACACCAGTGCCACCAGTGTGTGTAAATGTTGGTCGTTGGGGCCGATGGCACATGCTGGTTGCCTCACTTCTGTCACTGTGCTCCAGGCAGCTGTGGCTATAGTAGTAATTTATCACCACTGTGTATGGAGTGTAAGAATAATGACGTGAAGTGTCCTGAAAAACGCTATATAAAACTGATGCATTATTATATTTTTATTGTTTGATTTGTCAATCACCTCCTGGATTTTGTTATTATAGTTGTTGTTATTTTGGACAACAAACAGAATATCTATTATTTTCCATTTAAACACAGAGGCTTCTGCGTCATCCACGCCATTGATGTATTTGCCACAGATGTGGACTGGGCGTTTTGCTGCCTCTCGAGAATGAAAGAGAAACAAGCTTTAATTATGAAAATATATCTTCCTTTAAATCACATTTTTTTTTTATTACTTAATAGAACAGGTCCACGAAGCTATGTTTTTAATCATTTTTCATTTTTGACATATGTTTGCAGTCATCCAAAGTTGTGGATTCTTCAACAAGCTTGAAGGAATCAATGAAAATGAATGAATGTGTGTGAAGGCCAAATAGCAGAGTAATGATGTTTAAAGCAGAAAAGTCAAAAGGCGTAATATGGGACCTTTAAGGACACAGGGGCAGATAAAGATACACTGTAGTGTATTCCCGTTACCCTGATGTTTGAATTTGGAATGTTTGCACTCTAACAGGCAGGGGTTGCTCAAACAACATCTGAGAGTGAGTGACAGACAAGGAAAGGCTGCTGCAACATGGAAAAAAGCTGAGGTCAGGACATTTTGGCTCTGATGGACTACAGTGGGGAGGTCGTTGTCGCACTCACCCCACTGTGGATGAACTCGTCTCCGATGAAGCTACACATGATGTTGGAGGTGAAGTCCACGATGCTCTGGATTTGTTTGTATGTCTGCTCCGACGTCTGGACACAAACAACACATTATAAACAATTATGCAAAATGCGGGCAGTAATTCAAGCCACCACTCCACACACTTCACCTGAGGAGGGTTTTCAGAGTCGGCTGCTGGATACTTGAGAAAACGCAGAACTCTTGGAATCTGCAGAGAGAGACATAAATTATTACCAGAATGTTGTGGGGTGCCCCAGGGGTCGACATTTGGGCCCATGTTATTTTCCCACAACAATATTTTTGAGAGGAAATTTAAAAAATCGCACTGCACTTGGTTATTGCGGGCATAAAACAAACAAAAAAACAAAATAAGTGAACTCCTTGAAGTACTATATGTTTTAAGGCTGTAAAAACCCTAACCACACTTTACTAACCACCTGAACTCACGACTGCTGAAGTGCAATTGTGGGGATGCAAAGGAAGGTTTCTCACCCATCATCTGTACTTCTTAGCAAGTTTTCCCGACGTTTCGTCCTCAACCTGGGGACTTCTTCAGGGAATGATGATTCCCTTTGCTTTGACTAATCCCTGTACGACTGAGGGCTTACACAAACTAATTGTGGGGATATCAAACCTGTTGGTTGGAGGTCTGAGCACTGCTGCAGCTATCAAAATCTGTGCATACACTGTAAAGTAATTGCACTGAGGGGCACGGAAGGTCCTCAGGTACTGAAGGCTATGGGCAGACATGAGAGCAACCAAAGAGAGACAAGTCGAAAATCTGCGAAACAGCAAGGTCACAAAAGGTGAACCGTGTTATAGTGAGACCAGTGTATTTAGAAAACGAATTATGAAAATATATCTTCCTTTAATCACATTGTCTTTTATTTCCCAATAGGGCAGGTCCACATAGTTATGTTTTTAATTGTTTTTCATTTTTGACATACGTTTGCAGTCATCCAAAGTTGTGGATTCTTCAACAACAGATAAGAGAATTAAACAGTTCAAACACAGGAAATGCAATTGTAACAAACACATAGGAGCCATTGGTCCATAGGTAGCGGGATGACCACTGTCCAGAAATGTTAATAAATGTCCCTGATCATCTCTGTCCTGAGACCCTTCTGCATCTGCAAGACTGATGGAATTTCATTTAATAGAGACCAATGTTTTTGACCTGTTTTGAAATACTGATGATCCAGAACAACAATAAGTAGCCTAAAAGTTGAACAAGTTGCAGCAACCAGATGAGGTCGCAAGGCGGGTCGTTCTGACACACCAGCCTGTGTCCTCAGCAGTGTTGGGTATGTTACTTTATAACTAATTACTTTTTCAGTTACTATTTACTTCTCCCAAAAACTGAGATACTAACTGAGTTACTCCACTATAAAAGTAACTGGTTACCAGTAAAAGCAACTATTGCGTTACTTTTTCGTTTCGTTCTGGAACATAATGTACACTCAACGTGCACATTATTACCTTTAACCTCAGTGAGTTTACTTTGAAATAGTGGTGATATTACCATCTGGAAAAGGCGGTTTTGCTGCAGGAGTCCTCCTCACACTCCATCTTTCTCTTTGTGCTGTTAGCACTAAACACCAACACCTGCCACTGTGAATGCGGAAACACCCACCAAGTCGAGGTTGTTTATATCGTGTTGTTGGTACTGTGCTGCCGGAAGTGGCGGCTTCGCCGAGATGCTCTTTAGCGACTTGCTTAATAGTTGTGTTGACACTGCAAGTGTTTCAAAAGGTTCAAGGATTAATTGGCTGCGGTGGACAATTGCTTGCTGCCCGCACAAAGCTTGCACTCCACGACAACGTTTTTATCTTTTTGACTGATAGTTAAAATAGTGTGCATATCTCCACCGGTAAAACTAATCCCTCTCCTCTGGCTCTGCCATGTTGTTTTACAAACAAACTCGCTCATGTCCTCAACATACAGAGACAGTGGCTCAGTTGGTAGACCATACGGCCTTTGAGCCAGAAGGTCGTGGGTTCGAGCCTACCTCAAGACTTTCAGAATCAGAATCAGAATCAGAATCATTTTTATTGCCAACGTAAGTAACGGGAGGTCACAGACTTGGAAATTGCTTTGGCTCAGTGCAACAGTCAAAAAGAGATAATAAAAATAAGAATAAAAAACACTTCTAAAGAATAAATTTAAATTTAAAATAGAGTTACAGTTACTATTTACAATATACAAGTGCACATGGTGCACACAATGTAAGGTGACAGCAGTACAGTGAAGTAAAGTGACGTATGATGGGCAGTAAAGTGACTTTATAAAGGGCGGGGGGACAGGTTAAGAAGTGTTCAAGAGTCCAACAGCAGAGGGGAAGAAACTGTTCTTGTGGCGGGAGGTTCTAGTCCTGATGGACCGCAGCCTCCTGCCTGAGGGGAGTGGTTGGAATAGTCCATGTGCAGGGTGAGAGGGGTCGGCTGTGATACGACCAGCCCGGCCTCGAGCTCGGGCGACGTACAGGTCCTGCAGCGATGGAAGGCTGCGGCCGATCACTTCCTCTGCAGAGCGCACAATGCGCTGTAGTCTCTGTTTGTCCCTGACTGTGGCTCCAGCGAACCACACGGTGATGGAGGAGGTGAGGATGGACTCGATGATGGCCGTGTAGAACTGCACCAACATCTGTGCAGGCAGCTTGGCTTTCCTGAGCTGCCGCAGGAAGTACATCCTCTGCTGGGCCTTCTTGATGAGGGAGCTGATGGTCGGCTCCCACTTGAGGTCCTGGGTGATGGTGGTGCCCAGGAAACGGAAGGACTCCACAGAGGTGATGGGGGAGTCCATCACGGAGGGTGGGGGGGGGGGGACAGTGCTCTTCCTGAAGTCCACAATCATCTCCACTGTCTTCTGGGCGTTCAGCTCCAGGTTGTTACCACTGCACCAGGACACCAGCCGGTCCACCTCCCTCCTGTAGGCGGACTCATCGTTGTTGGAGATGAGTCCAATGAGGGTGGTGTCGTCCGCGAACTTGATCAGCTTCACGGAGTCGTGGCTGGAGGTGCAGTGGTTGGTGTACAGGGAGAAGAGCAGGGGAGAAAGAACACAGCCCTGTGGGGCTCCTGTATTTATAATCCGAGAGTCCGAGACATTCTTCCCCAGACGCACTCGCTGCTTCCTGTCCGTCAGGAAGTCAGTGATCCACCTGCAGGTGGAATCGGGCACGTTGAGCTGGGAGAGCTTGTCCTGGAGCAGGGATGGCAGGATTGTGTTGAAGGCAGAGCTGAAGTCCACGAACAGGACCCTGGCGTAGGTCCCCGGGGAGTCCAGGTGCTGTAGGATGTGGTGGAGGGCCAGGTTAATGGCGTCGTCTACAGATCTGTTGGCTCTGTAGGCGAACTGCAGGGGGTCCAGGAGGGGGGAGGTGAGGGACTTGAGATGGGAGAGAACCAGGCGTTCAAATGACTTCATGACGACAGACGTAAGTGCTACAGGTCTGTAGTCATTGAGTCCTGTGATCCTGGGCTTCTTCGGGACGGGGACAATGATGGAGGATTTGAAGCAGGCCGGGACATGGCAGGACTGCAGAGAGGAGTTGAAAATGTCCGTGAACACAGGAGTAAGCTCACTGGCGCAGTGTCTCAGAGTGGCCGGAGACACGTGGTCCGGGCCAGGAGCTTTGCGGGGGTGCAGCCTCAGGAAGAGTTGTTTAATCTCTTTAGCGGCTATTGTTAGGCTGGGGGCAGGGCTGATGGGTGGGTCGTTAGAGTAGTGGGGGGTGGGGGAGGGAGAGGTGTCAGGGGCAGCATCAAAGCGACTGAAAAATAAGTTCAGATCGTCAGCTAGCTTGTGGTCATCAGCACAGGGGGGGGCTTTGGGTTTGTAGTTGGTGATCTCCCGTAGGCCCCTCCAGACAGAAGCAGTATCGTTGTTACCAAACTGCTCCTGTAGTCGTTCTCTGTGCCGGGACTTGGCTGCTTTCAGTTCTTTCCTGAACTGATATTTAGCTGCTTTGTAGCCGCTGCGGTCCCCCTCCCTGAAAGCAGACTCCTTTGCTTTCCTGAGCTGCCGGAGTTTAGCAGTGAACCAGGGTTTGTCGTTGTTATAGATGACCCTGGTCCTTGTTGGAAAGATGCTATCCTCACAGAAGTGGATGTATGACGTCACAGTGTCCGTATATTCATCCAAGCTGTCTGTGGCAGCTCTGAAAAGGTCCCAGTCTGTAGATTCCATGCATGCGCGCAGCTCTTCCACAGCTTCATCAGACCACACTTTGGAGCTCCTCACTGCAGGTTTCGAGAGCTTTAGTCTCTGTCTGTAAGCAGGAACCAGATGTATCATGGAGTGATCTGAGAAGCCGAGGGCTGGCTTGGGAACAGCGCGAAAAGCTCCGCGCACGGTGGTGTAACCATCACCATCGACTCCCTCTGATGTCTGCTGTCGTTGTGTCCTTGGCAAGACACTTAACCTCTGGGAACACCAGCCACAGTGGGGCGGCTGCGGCTGTAAAGTGCCAAACTGCTGTGGTGTCCTTAGGCAAGACACTTCACCCCCATTGACTAGAACGAGTCTGGTGTGTGTGAATGGTTGGTGGTGGTCGGAGGGGCAGATGGCACATACTGGTTGCCTCGCTTCTGTTGTGGCTACAGTAGTAGTTTATAACCACTGTGTATGGAGTGAATGAATAATGACATGTAAAGCGTCTTTGAGTGTCCAAAAAGCGCTATATAAAACCGATGCATTATTATTATTATAACGTGACGTAAGCACACAGACAACCACGTAGCGGTAGCCTGGTTGTACGGTGGCTGAGTGGATAGCACTCTCGCCTCTCGGCAAGAAGGTCCTGGGTTCAAATCCCGGTCGGACCAGGGCCTTTCTGAGTGGAGTTTGCATGTTCTCCCCGTGTCTGCGTAGGTTTCCTCCGGGTACTCCGGTTTCCCCTACCACTAAAAATATGTCCAATAGTTCTGGCATGTGCCTCCTGTACTGGCGACCCTGCTCCCATCTCTGTGTGGAGTGAGAGACAAATGCCCAAAATTAACAATTGTAAACCGCTTTGTGACTCAGATCTGCAGTGAAAAGGCGGTATATAAATAAAAACTTACTTACTTACTTGTACCACCCCATTTGCTAAACATTACCCTTGCTCCGGCTTCAATTACTTGATAGAACCAGACAATCGCATTTTTCACCATTACCAAACTACAACCTGCCTGTTCGACGCAAACTCTTGATATCACCCACAACTAA